TCCTTGATTTTTCCACTTTTAGATTTCCCGATTTTTCAATTTTTTGATGTTTCAGTTTTATTAATATTATTTATATTATTTTTCAATACACGTTTCTATTCTTCGATTCTTCAGTTTTCGATTTCATTTATTTCCCGATTTCTAGATTTTCCGATATATCAGTTCTTTGATACATATTTATATTTTTCAATTTTTCCAAGTTTTGAATTTTCGTTTTTTCAGATTTTCGAAGTTTAGACTCCTCGTTCTTTCAATTTTTCAGTTTTTCGGTTTTAGATTTTTCAGTTTTCCAATTTTTCAATTTTTCGTCTTCTCAATTTCTCTGATGTTTCGATTTCTCGATGTTTGAAATTTTCCGGTTCCTCGGTTTTTTGATTTTTCGACTTTTCGGGTTTTCAAAGTTCCGATTTTCCAATTTTTAGATTTTGGAATTGTCAATTTACTGATTTTTCTGTTTTTCGTTTGTTCAATTTTCCGATTTTTTAAATGTTAGATTTTCGATTTTTCAATTTCTCGATGAATCGGTTTTTAGATTTTCCCATTTCTTAATTTCTCAACTTTTCAAAGTTTCGATTTTTCAGTTTCTCAAATTTTCAATTGTTCGATTTTTCAAGTTCCACTTTTCGATTCTTCGATTTTTCAGTTTTTCGATGTTTCAATTTTAGCATTTTTCAATACACGTTTCGGTTCTTCCATTTTTCGATTTTTTTTATTTCCCGATTTCTCAATTTTTCGATTTTTCAGTACTTCGATACGTATTTATATTTTTCAATTTTCGGAATTTGTGAATTTTTGATTTTTCAGATTTCTCGTTCTTTCGATTTTTCGTCCTTTCGATTTCTCGATTTTTTAATGTTTCGATTTCTCGATGTTGTAAGATTTTTTAATTTTTCGATGTTTCGATTTTTCGATTCCTCGGTTTTATCGACTTTACGAATTTTCGATTTTTTTGTTTTTCGATTCTTCAGTTTTCCGATTTTTAAAATTTTGGGTTTTCGATTCCTCGATTTTTTATGTTTCGATTTCTTGATTTTTCAGTTTTTCGATATTTTAAATTTTCAATTCTCGATTTCTTGATTTGCCGATTTCTCGTTTTCTCGATTTCTTGATGTTTCGATCTTCGGTTCTGCGATAAATACTTGTTTTTCAATTTATCGAATTTTTGAATTTTCGATTTTTCAGTGTTTCGATGTCTCGTTATTTCGAGTTTTCGGACTTCTCGGTTCTAGATTTTTCAGTTTTTCAATTTTTCGATTTTTCGATTTATCGAAATTTCGATCTTCCGAATTTTTGATTGTTCAATCTCTCGATTTTTGATTTATCGATTTTTTTTTTTTATTTAAAATTTTTCAATTTTAAACTTTACGATTTTTTGATTTTGGCCTATTTCGATTTCTAAATTTTGCGATTTTTCGATTTCTCGAGTTTTCAATTTTTAGATGTTTCCGTTTTGAAATTTTTCGATACATGTTTCGACTCTTCAATTTTTCAATTTCCCGATTTCTCGATTTTTCGATTTTTCAGTTCTTCGATACTTATTTATATTTTTCAATTTTTCGAATTTTCAAATTTTTGATTTCTCAGAATTTCGAAGTTTAGATTTCTCGTTCTTTCGATTTTTCGACTTTTCGGTTCTAGATTTTTCAGTTTTCCCATTTTTCGATTAGTCTGTTTTTCAATTTCCCGATTTTTCTGTTTTTCGATTCTTCATTTTTCGATTTTTTAATGTTTGGATTTCTTAATTTTTCAATTTTACGAATTTTTGAATTTTCAATTTTTCAATGTTTCGAGTCTCGTTATTTCGATTTTTCAACTTCTCGGTTTTAGATTTTTCAGTTTTTCAATTTTTCGATTTCCCCATTTATCGAAATTTCGATCTTCCGATTTTTTGATTATTCAATTTCTCGATTTTGGATTTATCGATTCTTCAATTTTTAAAATTTTTCAATTTTTAACTTTTCGATTTTGGCCTATTTCAATTTCGAAATTTTTCGACTTTCCGATTTCTCGATGTTTTGAATTTTTCGACGTTTCGACTTTTCAAAAATTGTATCGATCTTTCAGTTTTTGATTACTCAATTTGTGGTTTAGGAAACTGTATTGAGTCTTTACCCTAGACATCCAGATTTTTGGAAAAAAATTCTAAATTGTATAACAGCATTTTGCAACATAACTTTGAAACTGTAAAACCGAATCCTGTAAAATCTTGCAAGCGTTGTAAGGTCATCGTAAGCATTGTTAATCGTTAATTGAAATATATCTGTTTATTCCCCCCCAAAAATTGATGACGTCACCTCAAAATTTTGCTGAATGAATCCTATCTAAAACATAAAATATTATGAATACACACTTGTGGTTTATGATTGGGATTGCATTCATATTTTTAAGAAGTACTTATACAGGCCAACTCAAAAATGAATGAGGCAATTTAATTTGTTGATCAAATTAAGAACGACTCACCCACTTTTGTCGAAAATCTAAAGATACAGCACTGTTGTTAATGGATTACATTGCACCTATTGACATTTATATGTATATATGTATATAAAGTGTTGCCGTCATCACAAAATTTTCTTGTAGAAAAACTCACTTAAAACTTATGCATAGCATGCTGCTATACAGACCTTCCAGAAGGTTCCACATTCTTAAAAAAAAAAAAACAGTTGGGACCCCCGAGAAGGTTTCACATTATTAAAAAAGACAGTTGGGACCCCTGAGAAGATTTCACATTATTAAAAAAGACATTTGGCGCCCCCGAGAATGTTTCACATACTAAAAGAAACAGTTGGCACCCCCGAGAAAGTTTTACATTTTTAAAAAAGACAATTGGAATCCCCGACAATGTTTCACATTCATAAAAAAAATACATTTGGGGCCCCCGAGAAGGTTTTACATTTTTAAAAAAGACAGTCAGGACCCCTGAGGTTTCACATTCTTAAAAAAAAGGCATTTGGCGCCCCGGAGAAGCTTTTACATTTTTAAATAAAGAGGGGCATATTCTCATTTTTTAGAAAAAGTGGGGTAATTTCATCAATAAAACACAGATAATAAACAATGCGAGAAAAAAAGAGAGAAAAAAAAAAGAAAACAAAAGGAAAGGCCAAGTTTGGAATCGAACGCGCGGCGTCCGGGTCCGCATTGCTGACTTGTAACCACTAGACCACGACCGGGATGCCTTAAGCTAATGGTAAACTGTTATTATACCGTGCATAATGTTTTTGCAAAAATTTGGACGGTTAGGGAAAAACTCATAGCGGATTCGTATACCACAGTTATAGAACTAGATTGTTATATAACAGTTAAATCAAATAAACATAGAATTCTTTGAAATGACGTCATCAAATTATTGGTGGGGATGATTAGTAAAATTTTGGTTACAATTTAGCCATCTACATGATATTTCTAATATACCCGTACATACAAAATTTGACGATAATCGGTCTTTAGGTAACTCTTGTGTCCTTAGTACAGTAAATTAAGTGTAGAAAGAGCAACATATTCAAGATTCTAATTTAAAATAACTATTTGAGAAATACGTACCCTTTAGAATTTTATTTTTTCTCTCTGTTTCTCTGTTTGTGTGGGTGTGTTTTCGTCAACGAATGTTCAGAAACGTATCTATTGATTGCCGTCGAATTAATACAAATGTACGCATAACAGGCTGATAAATGTGACGCATGAAATGGTTGTAGAAAAAAATAGACAACATTCTAGTTATTTTGCTTTCCTTTTTAGTTAATGTAATAGCTATTCCTTTACTTTAAGTCTGGCACAAGAAATGTTTGAAGAAAAAATACACAATGCTCTGGGTTTTATTTCCGAGTTCCTATTCCTTTATTATTTAGTAACGGGTTTTCAATTGCAAAAGTCATCAAGATGGCGTTGTTTCTTTTGATAAAAGAAAAGATAGCAAGAAACGCATGTGAAAAGCATTAATTTTATTAACTTTTCCAACTTTGACGTTTCAAAACACAACATAGGTCCCCCATTTTGCTAACGATCAAAGCTCATAATTAAATTTTAAATGTTTAGCGGATAATCTTTTTTGACGGAATGATAAAATTTATAATTTTTGAAGTAGGTATAACTATATTTTGGCGATAACCATGCTCGTCAAAAAACAGTTGGATAATATTGATGACACACAAAAATTGATGTTTTAGGAATAAAACACTAGTCGTAAAAAAATATTATCAATTACGTTTTTTAAGAGCAGTAAACACTAAAACAAGCATATGATTTTACTTAATATTAAAAACTGTGAAGTGATGGTGCATGGGTGGTTAAATTCCATAAAATTTTGCACATTCCGTATGTATTAGTCAACTTGTTATCACATTTAGCTTTTAGCACATACCCGATACCGCATTTGTTTTTTTTTTTTTGTAATTTTTGGAATATTTTGAGAACACACTCTACTTACGAATTAAATACTGGTGTGCTAGAAGCTGTATCTTGTTGAGCGAACACCGCTTGTCCAGCTGAATCACGACTTCCTGGGGGTACTCGCAGTTTCTGGCCGACTGCCACCCCTTCACAGTGGGGCCGTGCGTATTTAATTCAGTAGCCCGATACTTGGGGTCTTCGCCTACAAAAATAGCCCGTCTTTCACCACATTTCCGGCTTTGTCTACTCACTAGTGACGTGGATTACGCTGAAGTCTATCTTCTTCGGCATCTCTGAAGCCGGTTTTCTCTTCCCTATCTCGATATTTTCACCATTTTTACTTAAAACGCACTAGAACGGTGTTTTGTTTAATGATTTATGGTTTTTCACGTTTTATTGATTATTTTGTGGAGGATTCTCACGTGGCTCGGGAAATTCTGTGCGATTCATTTTCCTTTCTAGTTGTCTTATTGATTTTGTGGGATTAGAGTTCGCGCCGCTGCCGTGGGTTTTTGAATGAAAGAGAAGAGTTGTTTTTGGTTTGCTTTGTTGTAAGAGGGGGCGGGTACGAAAACACTGAATTTTTTATTACATGTGTATATTTTTATAAAACGTCCTACAAAATCGATCGAAATTTATTAACTTTTAGTGTTGATTCTATAAAATTCACAATTTTGCGACATGAACACTTAGTATGGCACATTGTTAACAATAAAGAGGGGTTAGTAATGAAATTGTATCCTACGACTTAATTAATTATAAAGGGGGCAAATTAAAAACAAATTTCTAAAATCTGTTTAAATTCGCATTTCACACAATACACAATGTTATCACAGAGAACACATAAGTACACATGAAGTTTTATTTTATTTGTGAAGAAGATGGTCGTAAGTATCATTAGTCACGCAATTTTCTTCACATTCTTCGAAAGGCAAGGATTCGTATACGTTTTCTTTGTTTTCGGACTGCCTAGCTTTCCGGGGTCTTCGCTTCTTCATGTACCTGGAAGAGATTTTAATTCGAACAATATCATAAAAAATCCCAATACATATGTCGATTATTTCAGTGAATTTTGAAAATTCTAAAAACCACAAAATTTATACTAGTAATAAAAACTCACCTGTATGCCAAAAATCCTATCGGAATCAGGAAAAGTAGCAACAGTAGCAGGTACAAATGGTTATAGCCACCCTTTCCTATTGAACTCTGCAAGGTCGTCGCCTTCTTGAAATAAACCACATCATGTTCCGAATTTCTGTACTTATTCGTCACGATGAAAGTAAAGCAGTACTGCGTTTTTGGCTCCAGGTGTTTATTCCCCTCATCGCCAGTTCCTATATCGATAGTTTTACTATCCCTGGAACTGACTTCAATTTGGTCCAAAATCCAGGTGTCACCGAAATTGTGACACAAGTGACCGGCGACTTTATTATTGTTTTGGATGTCGGAAGGTACCGTTCTCTCCTTGTCAAAATCTTGCACTACTGTTGTAAGAGTGTAAGATTTCAGTCTAGGGTCTAATACAGGAAGCTTGAAAGTAACTGAAGTCGTTTGGGTTTGTAACAGCTCAGGGCTTTGGTTAATGTGGTCTCCTATGTCGTCGGTTTTGACATGGGTGTGGGCGTATTCACTTTTGTACTTTGAGTTGACCGATTGGACGTAGAGGTCGTAGTGGGTACTGTAGGGTATAAATTTAATCTGAAAAGAAATGTGAGTGTTTCGGGTCTAATTTTATTCTTTAGTTACTCACTTGGTATTCATAGTGGGGCAAGTAATGAGAAGAGTTGAAAATTTTTAGTACTTCTTGTATATTTTTGGTGGTACCGTCGTCTGTTCCATTGAGGACGATGTGGAAGGAGTTGATGGTACCGTTTTGATAGAAAGGGTGCAACCAACTTATGTTTAAGTGGCAGTAGTCGAGAGTGTTATTACAGTCGACCATATTGTAAGTAATGTTTGAAGGAGCACCGGGTACTACAACAAAAACAAATCGTGAAATGGGAATTATTTGATAAAAATTAAAATGGTGAAAAAAAATTAATATTATATCTCTTTATTTTTTTGATTATTCGATTTTTTAATGTTTCGATTTTATAATTTTTTGTTTTTTCAATTTTTTAATTTAAAATTTCTCGAGTTTTCAATTTTTGGATTCTTTAATTTTTCAATTTTCCATTTATTTTGTTTCTTCATTTATGATATGAAAACTCGAAGCGATGAGTTTTCATTTTTAAATTTTTCAGTTTTCTTTTTTCCAACTTTTGGATGTTTTAGTTTTGAGATTTTGCATTTTTCGATTTACAATTTTTCGTTTCGGTTTTTTATTTTCCGATTGTTCTTTTTTCAAAATGAATTTTTTTATTTTTCGGTTCTTAAATTTTTGATTTGCGATTTTTCTAGTTTTTATGATAAATATGTTTGTAATAATAATTATAATTTTAAATTTTTTTCACTTTTTCAATTTTTCAACTTTTTGAATATTGGAATTTAATTTTTTCATTTATTCGATTTTTCAATTTTTCGATCTTCGAATGTTGCAATTTTTCAATTTTACAGTGTTTAGATTTTCCATTTTTTTCGATTTTTAAGTTTCTCGATTTTTAGTTGTTCAATGTTGCGAATTTTCGTATCTTCAGTTACTGGATTTGCAATTTTTCGATTTTCCACTTTTTCGATTTTTCAATTTTTTGGTTTATCGAAATTTCAATCTTTCGATTTTTCAGTTTTTCGATTTATCTTTTTTTAAGTTTAAATGTTTCAATCTGGAATTTTTGGATTTTGGGCTATTTCAGTTTTTTGATTCTCCAATTTTTAGATTTCTAAAAATTTAGATTATTCGATTTTTCAGTTCTTCATTTTTTACATTTTCGAATTTTTCAAATTATTAAATTTTAGCCTTTGGTTTTATTAGTCGCTTCTAGATATTTCGGTTATTAAATTTTTCTTTCTTCTGTTTTTAGATTTGCAGTTTTTCGTTTTGGTGTTTTAATTTCTTTATTTTTTCGATTATTCGATTTTTCAATGTTTCGATTTTATAGTTTTTGTTTTTTCAATTTTTAATTTAAAATTTCTGGAGTTTTCAATTTTTCGATTCTTCAAATTTTTGATTTGCAGTGTTTGGTTTCGGTTTTTTATTTTCATTACTTTTACAATTTTTCGATTTTTCAACTTTCCGATTTTATAATTTCTTGTTTTTTTAATTCAAATTTTCGAGTTTTTTGTGACTTCAATTATTCAATTGGCAATTTTTCAAGTTTACATTTTTTTGTCTTTTCAATTCTATGATATGCATGTCTTCGAGTTTTATTTTCTGATTTTGTTCTTTTATCAAAGTGTCATTTTTGAATTTTTCAATTTTTCGATAAATTTTTGATTTGCAATTTTTCTAGCTTTTATGTTAAATATGTATCTAATAATAATTATAATTTTTAAATTTTTTCACTTTGTCAATTTTACGATTTTAGAATTTTTTCATTTTTTGATTATTATAATTTAATTTTTTCATTTATTCTATTGTACAATTTTTGGGTTTTCCATTTTTTTCGATTTTTAGTTGTTCAATGTTCCGAATTTTCATATCTTCAGTTATTGGATTTTTAATTTTTCGATTTATCCAAATTTCAATGTTTCTATTTTTCAATTTTTTTTAAGTTTAAATGTTTCAATTTCGAATTTTTGGATTTTGGACTGTTTCAGGTGTACGATTTTTTAGTTTTTTGATTCTCTAATTTTTAGATTTTTTAAAATTTAGATTATTCGATTTCTCGATTTCTAGTTCTTTATTTTTGTTTAGTTTTGCGACTTTTTAAATTTTAGATATTTCCATTTCTCGATTTTTCGATTTCTCAATTCTTCGTTTTTTCTATTTTTCAATTTTTCAAATTTTTAAATTTTAGATTTTTCACTTTTTACTTCCCGAGCGTAAGCAAAGGAAGTATTGTAATCGAGTCCGTCGGCCGACTCTCTACTTTTACGTTTTCTCGATCTTTCATGACCCCTAGAAGACGAAGAAATAGGTCTCCCATTTCCGTCTGTCTGTCCGTCTGTCCGTCCGTCTGTCCGTCTGTTGTCCCGGATTTTTATTAGACAGATAATCTCCGAAAGTACTCGACCGATTGTTGTGAAATTTTGTACTTATATTAAGAATATCATGTAGATGGTAAAACGCTAACCAAAATTTGTCTAATCATCCCCACCACTAATGCGATGACGTCACTTCAAAATTGTACATAGTAAATGGGTTTTCAATTGTATAAAATAACATAGTCCTACACATGTAGTTTACAACTCTGAATCGACTTTTCACCCGAAACGTCCAGATTTTTGGAAAAAAAATCAAAATTATAAAACAACATTTTGAAATTTATTTTTGATCTGCTAACCAGAATGCTTTGAAATGTTGCAGATGTTTTAAGGCTATAAAGAGCATCATAAATCTTTAGTCAAAAAATATTTGCTTATCCCCTCCAAAAACTTGATGACGTCAGCTCAAAAGTTTGTGGAATAAATCATATCTAAAATGTACAAAATATGATGAGTCTGTACTTGTCATTTATCACTCCATTCATATTTTTTGGTTTGCATATACAGAGTGACTCAAAAAAATTAATGAATGCGTAAATATATTTTATTGATTTAATCAGGAACTACAAAACGGAATGCTCTGACATCTTGCAGATGTTTTAAGGTTATAAAGAGCATAATAAATGTTTAGTCAAAATATATTTGCTTATCCCCTCCAAAAACTTGATGACGTCAGCTCGAAAATTTGCCGAATAAATCATATCTAAAATGTACAAAATATGATCAGTCTGTACTTGTGATCTATCACTCCATTCATATTTTTTGGATTTGCATATACAGGGTGATTCAAGAAAATAAATTAAAGCGTAAATTTATTTTACTGATTTACTCAGGAACTACAAAACCGAATGCTTCGAAATCTTGAAGATATTTTAAAATTATCATAAGCATAGTAAATTTTTGATCAAAATGTATTTGGTCGTCCCCCCTAAAAAATTTATGACGTCACCACAAAATTTTGCTGAATAAATCCTATCTAAAATGTACAAAATATGGTGAGTCTCTTCTTGTGATTTATCATTCCATTCAAATTTTTTCGATTTGCATATACAGGGTGACTCAAAAAAAATAATGAATGCGTAAATTTATTTTATTGATTTAATCAGGAACTACAAAACCGAATGCTTTGAAATCTTGCAGATGTTCTAAGGTTATAAAGAGCATAATAAATTTTTAGTCAAAATATATTTGGTTATCTTCTACAAAAAACTGATGACGTCAGCTCAAAAGTTTGCCGAATAAATCGTATCTAAAATGTACAAAATATGATGAGTCTGTACTTGTGATTTATCATTCCATTCATATTTTTGGATTTGCATATGCAGGGTGACTCAAAAAAATTAATGAAGGCGTGAATTTATTTTATCGATTTAATTAGGAATTACAAAACCGAATGATTTGAAATCTTGGGAATATTTTAAAGTTATTATAAGCATGGTAAACTTTTGTTCAAAATGTATTTGTTCATCCCTCCTAAAAAAATTGATGACGTCACCCTTAAATTTTGCTGAATAAATCCTATCTAAAATGCAAAAAATATGATGAGTTTGTACTTGTGATTTATCATTCCATTCATATTTTTTAGATTTTCTTAAGAGGTGGTTCAAAAAAATTAGTGAAGTCAATTTATTTTATTGATTAAATTAAAGGAAACACTTATTATTAGTATTACACCTCAACCAACCCAATTTGGTAGACACAAAATTTGTTAAAGGAAAAACTCGGTTGAAACATAAGGGTAGCACGCTTATTTACATCGACTTTAACATTACAGACCTGCATTTGTTTTGTGCGATCACTTGGTTCCGCGAATGTGAAATAGACATGTTTATAATCAACCAATTGTGAATTTCACCGTCAAGAATTAAAATAAAACCCAATGTTTTATATAATAAGCGGAAGTCGAAGCAATAAAACCGATGGTCGTTTTGTTTACAGTTTCTCTGTTTGACTCTCACGTATGCTGTTACGCTTGTCATCTTAAATTAAGAATGTTTATACATAAACGATTTTCAGTTGCCGTATACGTGAGTAAATTGTTTCGTTATTTTATTGATTATAAAAAATCAATATTCAAAACGACCCAATTCATTTTCCCGAAAATTTGGGAATACAATAATTTTATTCTTAGTATTACACTACATCTATCCCAACTGATATACGTGTCCTTGCAAAAATGTTGACGTCATCGCAATTTTTTTTAAATTCCCACTACAAAAATGTAATGAGAAAAAAACACAATAGCCATGCAGTCGTCAAGTTTCCGACAGCGAGGGAAGTACTGTCTAAACTCTTTAGACCAATTTTTTGATGTTTCAATTTCTCTTTGGATTTATTGACTTTCGGTTTTAAAATTTTTTACTTTTCAGTTTTTAGATTTGCAAATTTTCGCGTCCCTATTTTAATTTCTTTATTTTTTCTCTTGTTCGATTTTTCAGTTTAAAATTTCTAGGGTTTTCAATTTTTTGATTCTTTAATTTTTCATTTCTTCAAAGTTTTGGATTTGCAGTGTTTGGTTTCGGTTTTTTATTTTCTTTAATTTAAATTTTTTCAGTTTTTCGTTACTTCAATTTTTCGATTTGCAGTTTTTCAACATTTCCTTTGTTGTTTCTTCAATTTTACGAAATGCATCTCTTTGAGTTTTCATTTTAAAATTTTTCAATTTTCTATTTTCCAACTTTTGGATTTTTCAGTTTTTCGATTTTGCAATTTTTTGTTTCGGTTTTTTATTTTATGATTTTCTAATTGTTCTTTTATAAAATGTAATGTTTAAAATTATAGATTTTTCGACTTTTAAATTTTAAAATTTTTTCGTTTTTTCGATATTAGATTTTTAAATTTTTCGTTTCTTAAGTTTCTGATTTGCATGTTTTCTAGTTTTCTAAATATGTATCTAATAATAATTATAATTTTACATTTTTTTCACTTTTTCAATTTTACAATTTTAGAATTATTCCAATTTTTGATTATTGGAATTTAATTTTTTCATTTTTCGATTTTTCAATTTTTCGATCTTCGAATGTTACAGTTTTTCGACTTTACAATTTTATTCTACAATTTTTCGATTTTACAATTTTTGGGTTTTCCATTTTTTTCGATTTTTAAGTTTCTCGATTTTTAATTGTTCAATGTTCCAAATTTAAGTATCGATTTTCCACTTTTTCGATTTTTCAATATTTCGATTTATCCACATTTCGATGTTTCGATTTTTCAGTTTTTCGATTTATCGTTTTTTTAAGTTGAAATGTTTCAATCTCGAATTTTTGGATTTAGGACTATTTCAGTTTTTGATTTTCCAATTTTTAGATTTTTTAGAATTCAGATTATTCGATTTCTCGATTTTTCAGTTCTTCGTTTTTACCATTTTTCAATTTTTTGATGTCTGGATTTCTCAATCTTTGGTTTTATTAGTCGCTTCTAGATGTTTCGGTTATTAAATTGTTAATTCTTCTGTTTTTAGATTTGCAATTTTTCGTTTCGGCATTTTTATTTCCTTATTTTTTCGATTATTCGATTTTTCAATGTTTGGATTCGATAATTTTTTGTTTTTTCAATTTCTCAATTAAAAATTTCTCGAGTTTTCAATTTTTCGATTCTTTAAATTTTCATTTCTTCAAATTTTCGATTTGCAGTGTTTGGTTTCGGTTTTTTATTTTCATTACTTTTACAGTTTTTCGTTTTTTCAACTTTGCCAATTTTATAATTTCTTGTTTTCTTTTAATTTAAATTTTTTCAGTTTTTCGTTACTTCAATTTTTCGATTTGCAATTTTTCAATTTTCCATTTTCTTTTTCGTTTCTTAAATTTTACGATATGCATCTCTTCGAGTTTTATTTTCTGATTTTATTCTTTTATCAATGTGTAATTTTTGAATTTTTGAATTTTTCGATTTTTCAACTTTTAGATTTTTCTATATAATAATAATTATAATTTTTAAATTTTTTTGATTTTTCTATCTAATAATAATTATAATTTTATTTTTTTTTCACTTTTTCAATTTTAGAATTTTTCCATTTTTTGATTATTATAATTTAACTTTTTCATTTATTCGACTTTACAATTTTTGGGTTTTCCATTTTTTCAACTTTTAGTTCAATGTTCCGAATTTTCGTATGTTCAGTCATTGGATTGGCAATTTTTCGATTTATCCAAATTTCGATGTTTCTGTTTTTCAGTTTTTCGATTTATTGTTTTTTAAGTTTAAATGTTTCAATCTCGAATTTTTGGATTTTAGACTATTTGAGGTTCTCAATTTTTCAGTTTTTGATTCTCCAATTTTTAGATTTCTTAAAATTTAGATTTTTCGATTTCTATTTTGTTTTTTAGTTTTGCGAGTTTTCAATTTTTCGTTTTTTCTATTTTTCAATTTTTCAAATTCTTAAATTTTTCATTTGTTTGATTTCGGTTTCTAAATGTTTCAGTTTTTTATTTTCCAACTTTTGGATGTTTCGGTTTTTTCAATTTTCTAATCAAAATGTAATTTTTCAATTTTTGGATTTTTCAACTTTTAGATTTTTGAATTTTTTCGTTTTCTCGTTTTTTCAATGTTAGATTTTTCTATTTTTCGTTTCTTAAATTTTTGATTTGCAATTTTTCTACTTTTTATGTTAAATATGAATCTAATAATAATCATAATTTAAAACATTTTTCACTTTTTCAATTTTACGATTTTAGAATTTTTCAATTTTTCGATCTTTCAGTGTCACAGTTTTTTGTTACAATTTTAACGATTCTACAATTTTCCGATATTACAATTTTTGGGTTTTCCATTTTTTTCGATTTTTAGTTGTCCAATGTTCCGAATTTTCGTATCTTCAGTTATTGGATTTGCAATTTTTCGATTTTGAAATTTTTCATTTGTTCAGTTTTTCAATTTTTTCTTTTTTTCGAGTTTTTAGTTTTTCGATTTTTAATTTTTCTATTCTTCAACTTTTCAAATAAAAAAAATGGAAAAATTGCAAAATTGATAAATCAAAAATGGAAAAACGAAAAAGTATAAAGGCTTCGAAAAATCTAAACTCGAAAAACGAAATATTGTAACGTTGAAATATTAAAAATTAAAGAAATCAGCACATCGAATAACTGAGAAATCCAAAAATTGCAAAATTTAAAAATTGGAAAATCGAGAAATTGAAAATTGAAAATTTAGAGAATTAAATAAACGAAAAATTGTGATAGAAAATCGAGAAAATGTAAATTAAGAAATTGATCGAAGGTTATTGTAACAGAACTTCCCTCGCTCCTGAAGTACAGTAGAATAAACTCAGCTTATTCACACACCCCAAATGCGGAGTATCTTATTTGGTAAAAATAAAAACAAATTTACTATTGTAAATTTTTGAGATGACGTCAGTCATTAAATTGTTGGTGGGGATGATTAGCCAATTTTTGTTTGGCCTTTTACCACATAATTAAATTTAAAAAATTCAGACTTTGAGGGTGGATGAAAATTTTAAGTTATTCGAAAATATAACATTTGTTATTATTATTTTTATAAAAGTATAACCATTCTAAGAATTAAGAAAACTTAGCCAAGCATAATTTAAAAAATAGCTTAAAAAAGTTTATGTACTTTTTATGAAAATAAACACTCTTAAAAACGAACCATTAATTACACGATAAAAATCAGTTCATTCATCATTCGAAATTAGTAAATTTCAAAGCTGCTTGTTACAACTTTATAAAAAACTGTAAAAAGTCAAAAATTTACTTTTATTTTATTATTCAAACAAACACATTTACAAGTGTGTTTATTTTTTCTGAAAAATATGACTTTCTTATTCAAAAAAGTTTTCCACAAACAAAGAATATTTAAAATGACTGTAAATTTTCGTAGCGCTAAACGCACGAAACAAAGTAGATAAAATCAGTTTCTGATTTACCAGTTTATGAAGTTACACACGTTTATTAAGCAAGGGAATAAATATAAAAACTTACTTTGCTCTATCTGCTATGATTTCGTCAGCTAAATATTACTGTAAGCGCACTTTTTTAAAAATCTGAGATTATTAACCCACTGTTACTCCCGAAATCTTCCGTTATGTAAACCCCTCATATTAATACAAAGTGCCTTCTTACCTTGTTCGTCCAGGAATGCCTCAGCCTTGACCTCATCTCCATAGAATTGCGTGCCGTCATTCCTTATACTAACCCTAAAGGTGTACTTTTGATTCGGAATCAAATTGTTAACATCCATGCAATATTTTTTCGGCCACAATTTACACCTCGTAATATCAAAATTGGCAGTTTTACATTTTTTGAAAGTAATATCGTTACACCTAGTCACTTGACCAGCCACTGGGATACCTTTAGAATTTCTAGGTAACTCATAGCGAAACGAAACCGAGTTCTTATCGACGGAATAGAGTTCAAAATTTTGAACAGCAGATGCTCTTCCAGGTTGAGTCGTGAAACTGCTGGTGATAGCATCCGTTTTTTCGTCAATATTTTTTATGCTTCTGCCAGTTTTAATCTGGAGGGTGTATAGAGTATATGGTTCTAAATCCCTGATTGGGATGGTGTTTTCGCGCTGGAAAAACTGTTGAGTAGCGTTTGTTTTGAAGTTGGTTACGTTGATAGCGTATTCAATAGGTCCGTATATGGAGGAGCAAGGGATTTTATCCCAGGAGACAAACGCTCGATTCTCCTTCACCTGAATATTGAGTCTAGAGGGGAATTCTTCTAGCATTGGTTTATCTATAAAGAGATTCAACTTTTAGTTTAAAACTATCAAAATAAAAAAAATAACAAGACATACCTGATGCCTTGGTTGCAACAGTAATTTGTTTCTCATTTTCATGTAGCATACTTGAAAATGTCATACTGTACTCGGTATAAGGTATCAAATTAGGTATTGTTAGTTCGTTATGTTTGGTCATTAAAAATCCGTTTGATTTTATTCGTTTTAGGTTTGGATCATCCTCGGGACAAAGGTCGTTAGCCTAAAAAAATATCAATACCACGCTAGACTGTATAAACTTGCTTTATCAAAAATAGTATTTATGCACTTTGTATTATTAGTCACACCTGTTTATGATCTAACTGTTCTTATGTAAATTTACACAATTGATCGTATGTACATGTTTACGATGTTTAATCAGCGAAGTGATCGTTAGAGTCACGGGTTGTTACAAATTATGTAGTTATTAATTACAACTAATAGCTCACCTTATAAGTAATAAAGTAGTTTATTTGATTGTTGTCGTCCTCTTGGGTCCAATTCAGCATGATTGCTGTGGAATTCGACCAATCTTGAATTGATGGAAAATCTGAAAATAAGTCTGACATGATTTTCCATTTTTTCCGTTTTCCTCGCAGTTGAATGTAATGCAATTGCACGTATAGAATACGTATTTATTTATTTTGTAGGTCAGTGACATAAAGGATTTTATAGTTCGATTTTAAACGCAAAACATGTGTTTCCTTTTTGTTGAGTGGTGTATATTTTCTTTCTTCTTATTACCGTTTAAATCGAAGCTGACGGTTAGTTACAAAAATTGTATTTCTTTGCCCGGGGTATTACAGGGCCCAAATTTTGTCCTTTGTTATTTTTTCAGTACGTCAATGATATGATTAAATTTGTATGCTGTTGTGTCAAGGTGTTGTACTAACAGAATAAATTTAAATATAACCAAGTGCCCTCCAGTCGTAAAATTAATATTGTTTAATATCCCTGTGGCATCAAGAATGGAGTATTCAAAATAAATTACAATAAATTATAGTATTAAATAAAGATTTGGACGTGACTGTTGATTATAAATTTCAATGAGCGTGCTAAATGTTTTTGGAGTACGCTACAAATCCGTTGGATTTATATATAGGAAACGGAAAACTTATTCTAACTTTAGTGCTCTAAATATTTTGCATTTTTCAATAATAAATCGCATTAGAACATGCGGCATACATCTGGAATCGTATTCAGAGTACTGGGTCTTTTTTAAACACCGAGGGAATAAATTCGTTATTTTATGACGACTAACAATGGGCATTTTTTTAATAAGGTGTAACAATTTAAATATCTATCTATTTTTAATAGTTCATGCTGCATAACTAGTACATATATTATCTATATATTATTTTGTTTTTTGTTTATTTATCTGCCTTCTAGTAACAAATAAATAAATAAATAAATGAGTAAATAAAATAAAATTCGGAACTGACAAATTTTACTTTTCCAGGATAAGTCTAGTGAGGATTTGTTGTATCTTTTTTTTTTATTAAAATAAGTAGTACATGGAAAGTTATATTGTTTTTTTTAACACAAAGCGAAGTTGTAGGCTTGTTTTTGTGTACATGTTACTTTATTAAATATTAAAAATATTCATCTCAACGAGGATATGGATATAATTTGGGGTCATGATCACTTACGCACCGCGATTAGTTTACTCCATTTGCTAGACCTAATCCCCAAAAAGGTCATACGACGTAATGAATTTTAATAGAGTAAAATTGAGATAAAATCTTGATATTAGGTGCTTTATTAACAAAATCTCCGAAAAATGTTCGGCGTTATGCAATTACATGCAAATCTTTATGACCGCTGCGCATAAGTGCCCTTTATCTCTCAGGCATTGATTCTCAGGTAACTGTGCGGTGGGATTAGGACCACCTGCAAATTTTTCTGACCGGAGCGCGCAACTGACCTAAGCCGTTAAAGGGACTCGCTAGACGATGTATAACATTTTTTTGCTTTTTTGTATGAAAAAATGATATTAATATGGATGTATCATACATCAAACTGCAGCTTTTTTCATATTATAGAGCGCAGAGACCAGTTCAATCACCTAAAAAAATATGGCTGAGAAATATCATAAAAAAAGCACCATTGTATGTTTTCTTTTCAAGTTTTTTCTGTCATAACCATCATAGAATCGCTTGAAAATTCGCACATGGATAAAACATCACTTTTTACAGGGCGCAGGGTCATTAAATGTTTGTTAGTGGTACAATTTGTTTAACTAATAATGTGTTTATTAAAATCAAAATATACCACAAATTAATGCAAAATACCTACGTCGAATAATTTTAACAGGAATATCAGAGGAAAATTAATGATCTATTGGTTAGCAGAGTTTTTAACAAAAACTAACAATTATTGAAAAAAATGGGTATCAATTCGACAGAATTTGAGTAGTTAGTTCAGTACTTTGCCGATAGGAGCGCCAATAAAATTTACGGAAGCGACTTTCCAGGTAAAACCCTTATCGCCTGCTCTACCATAAGCTGATTGTTAAGAGTTCTCGGCTGATTTTTCTAATTTATGGCAAGGAACTCAGTTTTATAACAAGCCGCCAGGACCGGCCGTAGTAATCTATTGCTAAGGAAATTAACTTTTACGCAAGGAGGTACTATCATAAAACCGAATTAAAACTGGGGAATTATAATATTTTTACTCCACTCAGGATCCTGAATTCAATACACATGATTACTAAAAATTCATTGTAATATTATTGTTAATATATATTTTGCTTTGTTAATTAATAAAACTAATAAATATATTTATAATAATAATAAAAAATATATAAAATACAGCTTTTGTTTAACACGTATAAGTAGCTAAGTGTATCTACTACTTATCCCAGAAAGGAGGTGTTTTAAAAAAGCCCTACACCCAGTAACTTCTCCCTTCATTGTTTACTCGAAAAAAGTGCTCGTATATGTTTTCATTTGCCGAGAGATCATTTTCAAAGTATATTTATAATAAAAATATGCAAGTCTTGATGATGAAAAATGCAGTCCTAATAAATTATTAAAGTACAGAAAAAAATAGAAACAAATTTTATTTATTTTAAAAAAATCTCTCGCAAAGGCAGGTTCCTCTTTCTTCTTGAATCAATTATTTCGGGCAATAATGCGCCAAAGTAAAATCTGCCAAGTTTTTACATATATTTCTTCGTCTTTATAATTTTTTTCTATATTTATTTATTCCTTTGGGTGTCCGTGTCCATACAACAAAATAAACTTGTGAAATACCCGTAACAAGCATTTGTCCCTGGACTTGAAAGTAGTAATCATGTTTTTTTTTTAGTTTCAATTCTCTGTCAATGTACAAAATTTGATTTTTTTTTCTAATCGCTTCTTCGGGAGACAAATCTTGGGATTTTGAAGGGCATTTAATTTCGACTAATGCACTTCTATCCTCTAGAACCCTGTCTGGACTAGCAGCCAAGTAAGGAAATTGTTTTGAAATAAACAAGCCACACCGTTCAGTTTTTATATTTTTATTTATTTCAAAACACTTGACAGCTTTTTCCTCACTTTGCTGTCCATAGTATGTATGACTATTACCTCTAAATGTACTATACAACAGAGACTCCATAGTTTTAGCTATTGCTGTAGTCGGTCTATAAAAGTTTGTAAATACGTCCAAAATTTGAAGCCGTAACCCTAATTTCTCTTTCTTTTGCCCAAATGTGCCTGTTGCCTAGTGTCTATTTCAATTTGGTCTAAATTCAAAGATAATTTTCTCAGAAAAACCTCTTAGGCTGTAACAAATGTTTCTACATCCATGACAGGATTTTCTAAAAAATATTTAAACCATAATCGTAGTCGGGACCAGCATATGTAAATTTTTTTACGACATATTTTTTTTACGAATACTTTGTCTAAGACGAGCTTGTTTTATAGACGAACAATATTTTTTTGTTATTAAACCAGGACCGTTTTAATCACAATATATTTACTTATCCCCTCTAAAAAATTGATGACGTCACCTCAAAATTTTGCTGAATAAATCCTATCTAAATTGTATAAAATATGATGAATCTCTTCTTGTGATTCATGTTTTTTGGATTTGCATATACAGGATGACCCCAAAAATTCATGAATGCGTAAATTTATTTTATTGATTTAATCAAGAACTACCGAACCCAATGCTTTGAAATCTTGCAAATGTTTTAATAAAGAGCATAATAAATTTTTAGTCAAAATATATTTGCTTATCTCCTCCAAAAGATTGATGATGTCAGCTCAAAAGTTTGCCGTATAATCCTATTTAAAATTTACAAAATATGATGAGTCTCTTCTTGTAATTTATCATTCCATTCATATTTTTTGGATTCGGATATACAGGGTGACTCAAAAAATTTAATGAATATGCAAATTTATTTTATTGATTTAATCAGGAACTACAAAACCGAATGCTTTGAAATCTAATGTGAAAAAAAACATAATAGGCATGCAGTCGTCACGTTTCTGATAGCGAGGGAAGGACTGTCTAAACTCTTTAGACCAATTTTTTTGACTTTTCCATTTCTCAATTGTTCAATGTTTCAGTTTGGGATTTTTTCACTGTTTCGATTCTTTAATTTTTCAAATTTTTGATATTGTGTTTTCTCGGTTTTTAAATTTTTCGATATTTTAATTTTTCAGTTTTTAAAGTTTTAGGTTTTTAGATTTCTCACTATCTCGACTTTTCGATTTTTCAGTTCCATGATTTTTCAATTTGTCGAATTTTTAAATTTTAGATTTTTTGTTCTGGATCATTCAATTTTCTGAGTTTTCAGGTTTAGATTTTTTTTGTTGTTCAATTCTTGGATTTTTAAAATTTTTGTTTTTTAAATTTTCCTATTTATCAACTTACTGGGATTTCAATGTATTTTTTGATTGTTCAATTTCTCGATTTTTTGAATTTTTAGTTTTTGATACGATTTTTTTTTCAAAAATTTTCAGTTTTTCAGTTTATTAACTTTACGATATTTCAGTTTTACGATTTTTAATTTTTTTTATTTTTCAGTTTTCAATTTTTGACGTTTCTAAATTTTTCGATTTTTCAATTTTTCGATTAACTGATTTATTTCTCTATTTCTTGATTTTTCAATGTTTCAGTTTTGGATTTTTTCACTTTTCCGATTCTTCAGTTTTCTTTCCATATTTCAGTTTTTCAAGATTTCAGTTTTGAATTTTTTCACTTTGTCGATTTTTCAATTTTCCTTCCATTTTTCAGTTTTTCAGTATTTCGGTTCTTAGATTTTGCAATGTTTCGGTTCTTCAATTTTTCCATTTTTTGATGTTTCGATTTCTCGGTTTTTCAATTTTTCGATAGGTATTTTAATTTTTCAATTTTTAAGTTCTAGATTTTCCGTTAATTTTTTTGTTTTCCTTGATGTTTTGATTTCTCGATTATTCGATTTTTCAAGTTTTCGGTTTAGATTTTTTGGTTTTCCAATTCTTCGATTTTTAAATTGTTTAATTTTTAGATTGTTCAATTTCTCGATTTATAGATTTTTCAATTTTTCGGTTTACCGATTTTTTTTCATTTAAAATGTTTAAATTTTTCAATTATTAAATTTTCGATTTTTCAATTTTGGTGTAATTTGAAAACGGTATTAATAATACATTTAGGCGAATAAACTAATAGACGGGCTTGATAAGCCTTGTTTGCTCTACAGTGTCTAAATTGTGTTTGAATAATATAATAATTATCTCGAATATTAAAATTAATATGTGAAAAGAATACGAGAAATTATTATTCTGTGCTGAAGGTATGTTGTGGGCCGCCTGTCATAAATTATCATTATTCTGCATTATCGGCTTACGATGCTTTTATGACCCACGTCCAGTAGTCGTCTATCCCAGCGCGTCAGGTAGATTTAAAGAAGAATTGCTGGTTGCGTTTAAGGCAACAAATGGCGCCCAATTCAAACTTGTCTCTTGTCTAGCGTTCCCCCTTAAGTATAATTCTTTAAATACTCGTTTGATGTTTTTTCGACGTTTTTGACGTATCAAAAATTGCCAAAGTTTTCAAAATCGTAGGTTTAAAATGTGCGCAGTTAATTTTAGATCCCCTGGTATTTTATTTTCGGATAAATTTAAAGCAATCTGGTGTTTTTTGCTGGATAAACTTGAAAAAATCTTTTGAGCTTTTAGTATTTAATTTTTTTCGAATTTAAAAAAGTCGTGAGTGGACATTTTTTTTGTAAATTATTTAAAACAATTTTGGGGACTTTGATGTTCTATTTATGAAAAATTCTGACCCAAGTTATTTAATTTTAGGACCCCGTTTTTTTTCTGAAAAATTTAAAACAATTTTGATGTTGTAAGTATTCCTGTTTGGAAAGAATTTGAAAGTACTTTGGAGCCTCTAGTGACTTTTCTTATAAAAATTTAATAATTGCTTAAAGAATACGTCATTTGCCAAAATCAGTCTTATCTTAGCAGGTACTAGCCCCACCTACCCACCCTCTCTTTTCTTAGAAGGTATGTTATTTGCCAAAATCACTCTCATCTTAGCAGGTGCTAGCCCCGCCCACCCACCCTCTCTCACCTGACCCCACCTGACCTGACCGCAACGTTTAGTATTATAGGAATACCCTTGTGAGTTTCGTATGTTGGATATGACTTATAACTATAATAGACAGTTTCATCTAAATTTTAAACATTCAATGACATTGTAAAGTCGTATTGATAATCGTTAATCAAATAAATTCAAAGGATCATAAGATCGTTTGATATGTATTCAACTTAAAGTTTATTTATTAATGTGTACATAATCCCATAAACACTAAGGTAGAATGAAGTCGACAAGCAACAAAATTTATTGGTTTGAACACAGAAAATTTTGAAGTAGAAACGAGAACTTTTTGAAAATATTTTACACTATCTACTAGACTGAGTTTTTTAACCAAAATTGGTCTAAATAAGTCATTTAGACAGGAGTTGATCAATGAAAAAAAAGCTCCGGCCCAGCATTGATCCGCATTCAAATGGTAAACCCCATTTTCTTATTCTAGAGATCACGAAGGACCTTAATACAATACTTCCCTAGCTTGCGCTTGGAGAGCAAAAAATTCGTGAATACCACATTTTTGAACACCTATACAAAATTAAAAAAACCAGTGGAGCACTTTCGTGATTTCTCGACGTTTCATGACCCTTAGAATACGAAAAAGTAGGTCGCCCGTTTCCAGCTATCTGTCGCCTGTCTTTCGGGGGTGTTGAATTTTATTAGGCAGATAATCTCCGAAACTAACAGATCGATTACTGTCAAATTTTATATGTGCCTTGGGGATGCCGTCTAGCTGGTAAAACTAAAATTTGTCTAATCATCCCCACCTTCAATATGATGATATCACCTCCAAATTGTAGTTGGTTAATTTTTTTAAATTTTATAAATTAAGTTACTCCTCCATTTGAGGTTCTAAGTATTCCTGTTTGGAAAGAATTTGAAAATGCTTTGGAGCCTCTAGTGTCTTTTCTTATAATAATTTAGTTAAGTTTCTTAAAGAATACATTATTTGCCAAAATCAGTCTTATCTTAGCAGGTACAAGCCCCGCCCGCCCACCCTCTCTTTTCTTAGAGGATATGTTATTTGCCAAAATCACTCTTATGCAGGTGCTAGCTCCGCCCACCCACCCTCTCTTACCTGACCCGACCTTACCTGACCGCAACGTTTAGTGTTGTAGGAATGCCCTTGTGAGTTTCGTATATTGGATGTAACTTATATTTAATAGGTAGTTTCATCTAAATTCACAAGTCATTTTTATTTTTATTTTCGTTTCACGACCCCTAGAATACGAAAAAGTAGGTCGGCCGTTTGCGGCTATCTGTCGCCTGTCTTTCGGCCTTCGGCGGTGTTGATTTTTATTAGGCAGATAAATTTCCGAAACCAACAGATCGATTACTGTCAAATTTTATATGTAACCTGGGGATGCCGTCTAGCTGGTAAAACTAAAATTTGCCTAATCATCTCTACCATCAATACGATGGCATCACCTCAAAATTGTAGATGGTTAATTTTTTTTTAATTTTATAAATTAACTTACTCCTCTACTTGAGGTTCTAAGTACTCCTGTTTGGAAAGAATTTGAAAGTGCTTTGAAGCCTCTAGTGACTTTTTTTATAATAATTTAATTAAGTTTCTTAAAGAATACGTTATTTGCCAAAATCAGTCTTACCTTAGCAGGTACTAGCTCCACCCACCCACCCTCTCTTTTCTTTGAAGGAATGTTATTTGCCAAAATCACTCTGATCGTAGCAGGTGCTAGCCCCGCCCACCCACCTTCTGTTTTTTTTGAAGACATGGAAGGTTATTTTGACAGAACTTCCTTCGCCCCGACAAATTACGCTTCTTTAAAAAAATTATAATTTAATTTTTGGATTTGTGCGCGAGGGTGCAAATTCCAATAAGTGGACGCGGCACAAGAGTGAACAAAATGAAAAATAACGGGAAAAATGTAGATATATGTACTCATATTGTCAGTGTATGCTTAATTTCGACCATTTCTGTTTATGCTTAGAGAGAATTTGACTACTATCACCTTCAGATTACAAGCATCGCCGTTAAAAGAAAATGAAATTTGATTAATTTTGTCTTCTCAACACAGTTTTTCCCCCAAATCACTCATAAATTTGAAGAACATTTATTTCATGCTTACGTTTGCAAGATTTCAGAGCATTCGGTTTTGCAGTGTCAAAGTTAAATTGCAGAATGTCTAGGGTAAAAACTCAACACGGGTTCATAAACCACATGTGCAGGAATATCTGACTTTATAAAATTTAAATAATATTTATTAATATAAATTTTGGAGATGTCGTCATCCTATTGTTGGTGGGGATGATTAGCTAAATTTTGGTTAGTTGAAGAAAATATATTACAATTTTACGTTCCTGTTGCAAGTAAAATTATTATTATTAATTCTTTGGGATGACGTCATCAGCTTTCCGGAGAGAATCAATAAATCACTCAGTGATTAGATTTTTGAAAAAAATCTCTGCCTTTATATAAACATTGTTAAGCCAAACTTAAAAAAGTACGTAAATTTAAAATTTATGAAATCACGGGTAAATGAGTCAGATTTCACATTGAAACCAACATAAATCAGTGTTGATGGTTAATCAAATTTTTTGAGGAAGTTCGTTATCTAACCTCTGGAATAACTTAAAATTTTATTGTCCAAACTTAGTTTTATCTGGAATAACCCGTATACGTAAAACTAAAAATAGGAGCAGATGACTCAAACGCACATAAAAATGATTCATTAATATTTTGCATGAGATGAACGGGCAGATTTTTACTAAAGCACAATCTTTACGACTTTAAGTACCGTTAAAATTTCAAAGTAATTGGTTCGTTAGTTAATCCGTTTTAGTCTTGACGTACTGCTGGAATTTGAGAACAATAAATTTTGCATTTTCTCGCATAACTTAAAAACATGAACGTAACTGATATTCTGCAGACAATACATAATATACGACAATGAACTTGAAACCTCCAGTTAAGTGTTTACACAACACAGCTGTTGATTTTGCTTAAAATGCGTCTCGTTTAACTACGGCAGTTTGCATTAAAACAACATTCCCAGAGTTGCAATAAAAATGTAATTATAGAAAATTAATGCGCTTGTAAAATCAAATAAAAACGATGAATCACTCCCAACAATTAATTTAATTTTAGACTTTCCAGAGAATCATAACCCCCGGAAATATTTGCAACTTCAGGATTTCTTGACGCGCTATTTTCAGCTGCATCGAGGTTAATACCCGTTCAAATTAGCTTTAATTGTTTTGTGTTACATCATCACGCGTCGTATTAAGCACACACATATCAAATCATCACTGTTTTAACTCACAATATTTCATAACCGTAGTCGCCAGATCGCGTCAAAATTAGAACATCGACAGAATTTGAACCTACCTTGGATTTTGTCGTAGACCAGCTTTTTGGGGCGCCACTTCGGATGTTCTACGATTTGGCAAGAAATATCTTCCGCGGAATCGGCTTTATCGTCTTTCAGTTTCAAGAAAGTGACTTTTACCTCTGAAAAACAACGATAAAATTTTATTGGGCGATAAACCGAGTTGTAAAATTTGCAATTACCGTTTTCATGACACACGCGAACCTCATCCACAGCCCAGAAACCTTCGCTTTGGTTCAAATTTTTGGTGAATTTTGTTTCCACGAAAATGTTTACTTTGTCGATTTCGATGTGGTCGTCCTTTAGTTTTACTAATTTCCATTCGAAATTCTGAAAAGTCGTTGCAGTTAGTCAAAAATCGCGTAGAACCGCGGTGGTATACTTCACTGGGCTCCACTTCACTTATAAATTTTCTTGCTTGGTCTTTTACCACGAAAAAACTCATGCTACAAGTAGGACAGGTGGATACGTATAGAGCCACACACATCTCCTTCGACTTGAGGTGTAGGATAGGACCAAGTCGGGAAGTTTGGACCGTTTTTGTGTACATAAACTGGTCTAAAAAGTGAAAATTCGCGACATTTGATTTTTTATCAAGAAAAAATTTTGTGTGACAAAGTTCAAGTTCAGTAACACTCGAAAATTACCCGAAGTAACGAGAAAAAAAACATATTTACTTTGGTGTATTTTCCACAACGCGGGTTCTTCGCTCCTCATCAGCAAATACAGCGGTTTTAAAGCTTCCTTATCTTCGTATTCAATAACAGTTCTATTAACGCTGACATCCAGCAGCCTGAAAATGCCTGCATCATCAAGACTCACGCCGAAGTTTCTCCACTCATCTCCGGATAAAATGTTGGCAAAAGCCTGTTGAACAAATGCTGAACTTGGTAAACAAATACAGGACGACACTCACTGCGTAAGAATCTAGAAATTTTTGGGTACTGTTGAAAACGCTTTTAGGTAGAGTTGGGAATTTGCGCAAAATTATTTCGGTCGTGCTGATATTTAAGTGATAGCAGGGGTAGTGATAAGGGTTCCAGCCCTCACATAACAATAATTCGACATTTTCGGAGGCACGCACGGAAATTCCTGCTTTAAAAACGCTAGGAATTTCGGTTCTTGCTTCGAATTCTTTTGTGTCGTTTCCGGTGAAAACTGTGGGGAAATCTGCAAGAAAAGGAATAAGAATCAGCGTTTCGTGAAAAAGGAAGGTAATGTGGATGATTTATATTGTGTATAGTAAATGCTCGTCTATAAATTTTGTGGCTGACTTCAAGGATATTTTATTAGTGTGAAACTGATTGTTGTTTTTTGCTTCGCAATAATTTAGTAACAGAATCGGGGATAATGTAACAAGATCTTATAATTAACTGATTTACATGATAGATTTATTTTAATAAAAAAAAAAAATGTTTTAGCATTCTAAATTTAGGAGTTTCGTAAGACGTTGCATAAACTCATCCGGCCTAGAACCCACATGCGGGTTGTAGCTCATTTTGACCCGAGATCATAAACTCCGGTCCAAGGTCACATCTCGTTACACTGGTACCTGGAGTGCCTTAATCCCCTTCAAACTAATAGGAGCACCTATTGTAAACTTTGCATAAATTTTAGCTGTCCCTTTTTAAATTCCAGTTTTAAAATCCATACAAATAGAAACAAACGTGAAACTAAATAATTCAGAAAGTAGAGAGGATGTCTCATTTAAATATGACACAAATATTGTAATATTGTTTAAATCAACAATTATTAAAATGGTTGATATTTGCCGATCGAAGTTAATGCCAAACCACGAGCAAGGATGACAACGGACCGGAGTTAATGTGTCGGATTAGTGAACGCCCGACCTGGATCAGAGTTGAGGTTCTCTGGTCGACGAATGTAAACCAGGTCTGGTCTAGAAGCCCCACTATATACACTCACCGGCAAAAAAAGCGAATCACCCAAAGTTTGTATTGAAAATGGTTCCTTTTTTAAACGTTTGGCTACAGTCAATATCAGTTTTGAAAAAATCACACAAAATATACTAACACTAGGTTTTTGGTTCTTTTTTGTACATGATATGAACCTCAAATCTGAAGATGATAAGTTTTTTCCAACAATGAGATTTGCAGTTGTGACGTTTAGAGGGCATTAACAGACGGTTTGTCATTGTGATTTGATGAAAACTGTGTTTTTGTCAATTAACATGAGTATTGTGGCCATTAATGCAGCACGAGCAATTGCTCTTATTCAGGATGGTCGAAGTTAACGGTACGTTGCCAATACGTTAGGGGTATCACCAGTGAGCATTCACAGAACTGTACGACGGTTTAATGAGACTGGATCAAACAGCCGAAGACCTGATTCGGGTCGTCCAAAGAAAACATCGGCTCGGGATGACCGTTTTTTAACGCTGGCCGTGTTCCGTAATAGGGATACGACCGCAGTTGAGACCAGAAATCAACTTGAAGAAACACGAGGAGTTAGTGTAAGTGAAAGAACTGTAAGAAAAAGGTTGACTGCAGCTGAATTGAGGGCCCGTAGACCTGCAAGTGGTCCAGAACTTCTCCCACGACACAGAGTAGCCCGACTTGCATTTGCTCGAGAACACGTTAACTCGGATCTTGCCCAATGGGGCCAAGTACTCTTTACAGATGAGTCGCGTTTTTGTCTACGTTCTCCTGACGGCCGTCAAAGAGTATGGCGAAGAAGAGGCGAAAGGTAGGCTCAGTGCAATATTGTTTCCAGACAAAGTTTTCATGGAGGTTCAGTGATGGTCTGGGCAGGAATTTCTCCCGAGGCTCGCACGGAACTTGTAGTGGTGGATAGAGGCACAATGAATGCTGATCGATATGTAGCAAATATTCTTCAAGAGCATGTCGTACCTTTTGCTCCTTTTATTGGCGATAATTTTATTCTAATGCATGATAATGCTAGACCACATATCGCTAGAGTTGCACAAACCTACCTCGACGAATTCGGGATTTCACGTATGGAATGACCAGCACGCATTCCCGACCTGAATCCAATTGAGCATGTGTGGGACATGTTAGGTAGACGTATCAGAGCACGTGTGCCGGCCATACAACACATAAGAGATCTTGCAAATGCTCTAGTTGAAGAATTTGACCAATTAGCCCAGGCTGAGATTAGACACCTCATAGAAGGCATGGCAAGACGTATGGCAACCCTAATGCAAGCTAGAAGCGGCAACAGTCGTTATTAATGATATGTTAAGTAGTCTTTTGTTGGTTTAATGTAATGGATTTTCTGGTATTTTTTAATAAACTCGTAATTGTTGCAACTTCAGCGAAGGTCCCGTTACCTTCTCATCTCCTTTGTCCTAGATAAACTAATTTGTCTTATAAATGTGACGCACACCAGAATTTATTGAAGATTTCTACAAAAATACTAATGATTCGATTTTTTTGCCGGTGAGTGTAATTACCCTGATTCTACCCGACCTGACCTGAGCTAACTTGATAATCAAATACACGCAACGTTTAGTGTTATAAGAATGCCCTTGTGAGTTTCCTATGTTGGATATGACTTATATTAATAGGTAATTACATCTAAACTCACGAGTCATTTTTATTTGTAGTCATTTGACAGCAAAATCTTAAACATTGAACGTTGATATTTTAAAATAGTATTGATAATTGTTAATCAAATAAATTAAACCCCAAAGACAAGATCTGGGAATTCTTTAATATAGATACAAGTCCAAGTTTATTCATTATTGTGTACTGTCGCACGCAGAAGTTTTATCACGTCAGTATCCAGCAGCGAGAGGTATTAGTCTTCTTCACCTCCTCGTTGCGGGTCTTCATAATCCCATAAACGCTAAGGTTGAATAGAGTCGACAAGAAGCAATTTTTTTTATTTGATTACAGAAAATTTTGAAGTAGAAATGAGAAGTTTTTGAGATAATATTTTAAACTATTCAATAGACTGATTTTTTTAATAAACCGCCGACATTGATCTGTATTGAAATGGGAAACCCCTTTTTCTGTTACTCTAGAGATATGAAACGTCCAATAAACATGAAATTAATCGTTCGACGAAAGGACCATATTACAATACTTCCCTAGCTTACGCTTGGAAAGCAAAATATCGGTGATTTGTTTTCTGATAAGCTCTAGTGGAGCAGTTTCGTGTTTTCTCGACGTTCTATGATCCCTAGAATACGAAAAAGTAGATCACCCGTTTGTCGCCTGTCTTTCGGCTGTGTTGATTTTTATTAGGCAGATAATCTCCGAAACTAGCAGATTGATTACTGTCAGATTCTATATGTTCCTTGGGTATACCGTCTAGGTGGCAAAACCAAAATTTGTCTAATCCTCCCCACCATCAGTGTGATGACATCACCTCAAAATTGTGCTTGGTTAATTTTTACTTCCCGAGCGTAATCGAAGGAAGTATTGTAATCGAGTCCATCGGCCAACTCTCTACTATTACACTTTCTCGATCTTTCAAGACCCTTAGAGTACGGAGAAATAGGTCTCCTGTTTCCGTCTGTCTGTCTGTCCGTCTGTCTGCCGGCTCGGATTTTTATTAGACAGATAATAATCTCCGAAAGTACTGGGCTGATTGTTGTCAAATTTTGTATTTATATTAGGAATATCATGTAGATGGTAAAACGCTAACCAAAATTTGTGTAATCATCCCCAATATCGTCACCACTAATGTGATGACCTCACTTCAAAATTGTAGATAGTAAAAATCAAAATCATAAAACAATATTTTGCAATTTAATTTTGAATCTGCAAAACCGAATGCTTTAAAATTTTGCAAATATTTTAAAGTTATGATAAGCATGATAAATTTTTAATCAAAATATTTTTACTTATCCCCTCCAAAAAATTGATGACGTCAGCTCAAAATTTTGCCGAATACATCCTATCTAAAATGTCCAAAATAGATGAGTCTATACTTGTGATTTATCATTCTATGCATATTTTTTGGATTTGGTTATACAGGGTGACAACAAAATTAATGAAAGCGTGAATTAATTTTATTGATTCAATCAGGAATTGGAAAACCGAATGCTTTGAAATTTTGGAAATGTTTTAAAATTATCATAAGCATAATACATTTTTAATTGAAATGTATTTGCTCATCCTCCCTAAAATATTGATGATGTCACCTCAAAATATTGCTGAATAAATCCAATCTTAAAGGTGGAAAATATGATGATTCTATACTTGTCATTTATTAATGCATTCATATTTTTTAGATTTGCCTATACAGGTTGACTCAAAAAAATTAATGGATCAATCAATTTATTTTATTGAATAAATGAAGAATTGCAAAAATGAATACTTTGAGATCTTGCAGATGTTGTAGAATTATTGCAAGCATATAAACAAATATATCCGTTTATTTCCCCCAAGAAATTGATGACGTCATTTCAAAATTTTGTCGAATAAATTCTACCCAAAATGAGTTTTTATAGTTTTGGAAATTTCTTTCTACCCTATAAAATTTGATTTTCAACAACGAGACGGACAACACGATACTCAAAAACATGCTTTTAATTTCTTGTAAAGAAATAAGTATTTTGCAGTTTAGCTCCGCCCTCTTGGTTCACGGCGAATAAAAAAATCATCACAATAGAGACAGGGCGGGTGGGCGGGCTTATATTTTGCCTTTTTGTTTTAACATGTGTAGACTTCTTTTCACAACATGAAAATATCATTAAAATTAAATGTTCATTTATTTTTCAACAATCGGCTCCGCCTCGGGTAAGTCCCAACTTTTCTTCAAAATGTATATTATTCAAAATTGATAAGAAAGGAAAATCTTGAATATTCCTTTTTAAACAAAATCTGAGATCTGCCACATATATTTCAAATCTCGACTTCGCCTCGTGTTTAAAAATAGCGCCGATTATATCCTTGCACCTTTTCTTTAATTTTCAATATTTTGATTTTACAATACATATTTCTTTTTTTTTATTTTTCACTTTTTCGAATTTCAAGTTTTTCAATTTTTAATCTTTCGATTTTTCAAATTTTCGTTTCTTTAAATTTTCAAGTTTGATTTTCACTTTTGACATTTTTCAAGTTTTCATTATATACTTTTTGTTTTTTTTTTGATTTTTCAATTTTACAGTTTCTTGACTTTTTTCAATTTTTCGAGTTGCAATTTTTTACTTACTCAAGAACGAAAATAAGCATTACAACTACCTGCTAAATGTTCTCCGATAAATTCGGGTGTGAGCCATAAATATTTCTTACCATTGTACAACTGTCCACCTGGTTATTGTAACGATAAAATTTTATAGGGTAGAATGAAATTTCCAAAACTATACTTGTCATTTGTCAAAATTAGTCTTATCTTAGCAAGGACTAGCACCGCCCACCCGCCCTCTATTTTTTTAGAGAGTATGGCATTTACCAAAATCAGTTTTGTCTTAATAAAAGTACTAGCCCCGCCCACCCACCTCCTATTTTATCAGAGAATTGTCATTTGCCAAAATCAGTCTTATTATATTATATGCTTATATGCTAAGATAAGATTTATTTAGGCGAATTACATATCCTTTGAGAAAATAGAGGGCGAGTGGGCGGGGCTAGTACTTGCTAAGATAAGACTAATTCTGCCTCCATTAATCTTGTAAAAACTTGTTAAATTTAAAAGGTGTTAGGTAAATTGCAAATTTCCATAGCAACGAGTTAAATTCCTAAATCTGATTGGATGTTTATTTTTTGTATCATTCTACTTCAGGAGCGAGGAAAGTTCTGTTGAAAAAACGTTCGACCAGTTTTTTAGATTTGCTTCTACGGGGTGTCTCCAAAAAATTAATGACTGAGTCAATTTATTTTACTGAATAAATCAAAAATTGCAAAATTGAATACTTTGAAATCTTACAAACGTTTTGAAGTTATTGTAAGCATGGTAAATTGTTAATCAAAATATATCTGTTTCTCTCCAAAAAATTGATATTAGAGTTTTTACTTGTGATTTTTTTTTTATTTGTTTATACAGGTGGCTCAAAAAATTAACGAATGAGTATATTTATTTTATTAATTAAATCAGGAAGGTCTCACTCCATTTCCCCAGAAAATTAAAGTAAAAACTCAACTGAAAAATGTTTAATTGTAGGTACTTTAGGTGCGAGAGAAGTTGTCGAAACAACTTTTTTAAATGTTATGAATTATCCCATTACTCCTTGTGGTTTATGAATCCGTCTTGATTTTTTCCCCTAGACGTCCACATTTTTTGAAATTATACAATTTTCAAACAACATAACATTTTACAATTTAACTTTGAAATTGCAAAATCGAATGCTCTGAAATGTTGCAACCTTTTAAATTTATTTTAAGCACTGTAAATGTTAATCAAAATGTATCCATTTATCAAACAATTAAATAACTGAAAACATATTTCATCATTTAAATGTTATGTTAATTTTTTATACATTTTATTGGGAGGTTTTGTAGTTATTCTGTCTTTTTCTAATTATCAATATTAGTCAGTTTTTTCGATTGCTCACTGGAGCAAGCTTACCTCTCAATAAAAAAATACTATATAATTCGCATACATTTTTTAAATAATGATTCATTTTTGTTAAATAAATCACTCTAGTGTATGGTTTAAAATATTATATCAAAAAGTTCTCGTATCAAGTTCAAATTTATTTTAATCCAGCGTTTATGGAATTATGAAAACCCACAGCGAGGCGGAGAAGACTAATACCTGCGCACCGACAATACTTTTGCGTGTAATGATAGTTTGCGGCCTGATTTGCTCTGAATTCTTGTCTGAAGGCGACAAAGGCTCTATGAATCAGACGTGCATTTTAGGTTAAATGCGTTCCGCTGAAGACAATTTAGAACAATTAAAACGGAGGAAAAACTGATTCAGTTTTGTTCTAAAATTTATTAAAACAAATTAAAAATAGAAATCCTCGTCGTTAGGTCATGCTCCTTTCAGACAATAAGCAACCCAAAAGCAAGCAAGCGTTGTAAATCACCCTGATTATACATAACTGTAAGAAGTTTATGGGGTGATTTCAATAAACACTTTTGGAAACAGAAATTCAGTAATTATTCATGTTCATTATTTGGCGGACTCTACTTTACCATACTGACTGAAAATATTTGTACTCATCTGAATGTTTTTTTTCTTTGTAATTTAATACCATCAAATAATCAGTCTTTCTAATCATTAAACCCTGATTATATTTATGTAGAAATGATGTCCAACACTGTTTCGCTTTATTGCCAATGTTTTTTTGACATTGACGTAAACACAAAACTTGTGTAATTTTCATGGTCTCACAACAAATTCGGTAAATTGAGGATGAACTATGACAGCGGTGACAAAAATGTGCTTCCTCCCATTGTCCTATCACACTATAGTCACAGCCACTTTTCAAAAATTGTCCCGCCTACTCACCTTCCCACCTCGTGTCAAACAACAAATCCAACGTCCTCGTCGAATTTTCATCAACCTCCCAATTTTTCAGCGCCCAGATCTTATTACACTTACTCTGTTTTGAGAACTTGCAATTGAACTCGTTTTGAATCGTCGGCACGAACTTCGTAGCTAAAATAAAACCTTGGCATTTGTTTTTTGCAAGGGCTGCACTCACTTATTTTGGGTTCCTCCTCTTCATTGGTAGGCAAAGGATAGATCCAGCCTATCGCAGAATACCGGTCATTCTCTTCCGCGATACAATTGGGTTGCAATTTTTCGCCTTCTTTTTTCACTATATAAGTCAGGTTGATGCTCGTCGACTGTCGCACTAATATGGCTATTGTTAGAAGAAGGCTCAAAGTGAGCATTTTAGTTCGCCTGCAAGAACACACCGAGAATAACGAACTGAGTCGAAGACGGTAATGGTAAAGATAAGTTTATTTGTTGACAGTCAACATCACGCTAAGTGTGTTATGTCTACATACCGCAAGTGACGGTTATGCAAGCTGATGAATAAAAAAACTATTTACTTACTTGCTCTGCACCAAATTATTGAATGAGGTAGTCATTTAAACATGCCGTACACGCATAGTGAAATTGAAATGCTTGTATAAATAGAAAAGTCCTTGAATCGCATGATCGCTTGCCTAAATTTTACGATGATGTGAACAAGTTTCTCTTTTGGTGGTAGTGTTAAACAATAGGCAACCTGTTCGACAGTTAGTCCCGGAGAGCAACAGGTGGGTTCACCCGATTGGTTTATTGACACGAATTCACCTGAACTGGCTTAAGTCCTTCAATAACCTTGCTCAGTCACACCTGCGTGGGAAACAACGCAACATCGTGTAAATATCTTTATTAGCAAAACGTGTAATACAATGAAGTTAAATACTCAAACAAAGCTACAATTAAAGTAAATCGTCATTAATTAATTGATTAATCTTGCTGTTGTTGTTCCTCCTTCTGCATTTCCGCCGGTCTTGCCACCTCTTTGTCGCCCTTCTTTTTCGAACCCGACACAATATCGTCGATACGCAAGAGCAAAATTGCGGTTTCCACCGCAGTTTTGTAAGTTTGTAGTTTGACAGCTAGTGGTTCCCACAACCCGTTAGTAGTTTGTTCCACGAGTTCTCCACTCTCTCCATCTATACCCCACGTGCAAGGAGTATTTTGGTCGGTGTGGTTGGCATGCTTGGCCCTTAGAGCTGTCAAAGTTCTAATAGTGTTAGCCCCACAGTTCTGAGCTAGCGTCTTCGGCACGATCTCAAGCGCATGCGCCAAAGCTCTGTACGGCCCGTGTGTGGCTTTCTGGAGCAGTTTCTGAGCTACCGCCATCTCGATAGCACCGCCCCCTGGGACTAATTTTGGTAACAACATGATGTTCCTAGCAACCTGGAGTGCATCCTGCAAGTTGCGCTCGGTTTCGTTGAGTATGTCTTTGCTAGCACCACGTAGAAGAATTGTACACGCCTGTAAAAAACGAATACACATTTTTTTGAATTCTATTTTTCAGAATTTTGCTTACTTTTGGATTTTTACACTCTGTGATGTAACAGAAATATTCGTCTCCTAGTTTCTTTATTTCGAAGAGGCCGGCTCCGGTTCCTATGTCCGATTCCTGGAGTTCTTCGGTACGATTGACTATGGTGGCGCCACAAGCGCGCGCTATGCGGTTATTGTCGGATTTGCGCAGGCGCCGGACGGCGCTGATGCCCGCTTTTAAGAGGAAGTGTTGAGCCAAGTCGGAAACGCCCTTTTCGGTGAATACCACGTCGGGTTTAAGCGCGATGATCTCGTCACACTGGCGGCGGACGTGTTCTTCTTCGAGTTCAAGAAGGCGGGTAAAATCCTGTCGAAGAATACGGGTTAGAGAAATGTTTCCGGTAACTAGGTATACAAACTCACTGTTTCGGCTGTTATTTCCACGTTGGTTTGAGATTCACCTTTCTTGTATTCGAGAGAACAGTCCAGAAGCATGATTCTTGGATTCTGGAATGAAAGATTTTTTTTTAAATTTTCCTGTACGCATCCAACTGATTTTATTTATTCTCTTCAAAAAATCGATGACGTCATCAAAAAATAAGTAACATAATTATTCTTCTGTACGGAATTATAGTTTTAAATAAATTATTATGCTTTTTACTTCCCGAGCGTATGACGTTTCATGATCCCCTAGAATTCGAAAAAATAGGTCGCCTGTTTCCCTCTGTTCGCTGTCTGTGTAGATTTTTATTAGGCAGATAATATCTGAAATTATCGGGCCGATTGTTTTCAAATTTTGTATGTACGAGCATGTCAGAAATATCATACGGACGATAAAACGCTACCCCAAAATTTGTATAATCATCCCCATCAATAATGGAGTGACGTCATTTCCAAGTTTTACAATAGTAAATGTTATTTAAATTTTAAAAAATAACATACTCTTCCACTTGTGGTTTATGAATCCATGTTGAACTTTTCCCCTACGCATTCCGATTTTGGGGGGAGGAACAACAATTTTGCACACTTTAAGGTTATCGAAAGCATGCCTAATGAAAATTTATCCGTTCATGCTCCCCCCAGGAATTGATGTCATCTTACAATTTATTTTATTCGATTTCTCGATTTTTCATTTTTTACAATTTCTCGATTTTCAATCGAACTTGATTGCTCAATTTTTCTATATTCCAGTTTTGGGATTTTTCCATTTTTCGATTTTTCAATCGATCAATTTTTAACGTTTTCTAAATTTTCGATTTCCCGGATTTTTCAACCTTTCGATTTTTCGACTTCTAGATTTCTCAATTTTTCAATTTTTGATTACCCAATTTTCAGATTTTTCAATTTTTGACGTTTCTAAATTTATATTTTTCGATATCTCGATTAATCAATATTTCGATTTTTCGAATATTTCAACTTTCAGATTTTTCGATTTTCTAATTTTCCCATTTATCGCTTGTTTTCGATTTTCTATTTTTTTTTTAATTTTCAAACTTCTGATCTTTCATTACATCGGTTTTTCGGTGATAAATCGAAAATTCTAAAAATCGAAGAAAAATTGAATCGAAAAACTGAAAAATCCCAAAAACTGAATTTTTCAATGTTTCAGTTTTTCGATTCAATTGTTCTGAAAAATCTAAAACTGAAACATTGAAAAATTCAGTTTTTGGGATTTTTCAGTTTTTCGATTCAATTTTTCTTCGATTTTTAGAATTTTCGATTTATCAATTTTTCGATTGTTATTTTGGGGGTTTTCAATTTTCCAATGCTTCTATTTTTTGATATTTAATTTTTTCCAAGTTTCGGGTTTTTTATTTTTCGATTTATAATTTTTTGTAATTTAAATTTTTCAATATTTCGATTTTAGGCCGTCGATTTCTTGATGTTTAAATTTTTCGATGTTCCGATTTTTGGATTTCCCAATTTTTCGACATTTTGAGATTTTTTAATTTCTTGAACTGTGAGTTTTTGGAATTTCTAATTTTCCCCATTTATCGCTTGTTTTCCATTTTTCAGTTTTTCAAATTTTCAGGTTTCTGGTCTTCATGATTTTGGTTTTTAAAATTTTCCATTTTTGGAGTTTACGATTTCTCGGTTTTTCAATGATAAATTGAAAATTCGAAAAATCAGAGAAAAATTGATTCGAAAAACTGAAAAATCCCAACACTGACGAAAATTTCGAAAAAACGAAGAAAAATTGAATCGAAAAACTGAAAAATCCCAAAACTGAAACATTGAAAATTTCAGTTTTTAGGATTTTTCAGTTTTTCGATTCAATTTTTAGAATTTTCGATTTATCATCGAATAATCGAGGAATCGTGATCTCGAAAAATTGAAAAATGGAAAATTTTAAAAACCGATATAATTAATGAAAGATCTCAAAACTGAAACATCGCAAATTTCAGTTTTTAGGATTTTTCAGTTTTTCGATTCAGTTTTTGTTCATTTTTAGAATTTTCGATAATCAATTTTTCGATATCTGTTTTGGGTGTTTTCAATTTTCCAATTCTTCAATTTTTTGATATTTAATTTTTTCGAAGTTTCAAATTTTAGTTTTTTCGATTTGTTTTTTTTATTTTCCATTTTTCGATTTTTCAATTTTCAATTTTCTAAATTTAAGATTTTTCAATTTTGTAATTTTCCTATTAATTTCTCTTTTTTTATTTTTCTGTATTTCAATTTTTCGGTCAAGTTCTTCGATTTATACATTTTTTTAAAATTAAAATTTTCAATTTTTCGATTTTGGGCTATTCGCCTTCGATTTCTTGTTGTTTAAATTTTTCGATTTTTCGATTTCCCAATTTTTCGACAATTCAGTTTTGAGATTTTTTAATTTCTTGAACTGTAAATTTTTCGATTTTCCAGTTTTCCCATTTATCGCTTGTTTTCAATTTTCCAGTTTTTCAGATTTTCCATTTTGAGAGTTCACGATTTCTCGGTTTTTCGATGATAAATGGAAAATCCTAAAAATCGAAGAAATATTGAATCGAAAAACTGAAACATCGAAAATTTCAATTTTGGGATTTTTCAATTTTTCCATTCAATTTTTCATCGATTTATTAAATTTTCGATTTATAATGGGGGTTTTCCATTTTCCAATTCTTCAATTTTTTGATATTTAAGTTTTTCGAACTTTCAAATTTTAGTTTTTTCGATTTCTGGTTTTTTTATTTTTCGATTTATAATTTTTTTTATTTAAATTTTTCAATTTTTCGATTTTGGGTTATTCGCCTTCGATTTCTTGTTTAAATTTTTCGATGTATCGATTTTTGGATTTACCAATTTTTCGACATTTCAGTTCTGAGATTTTTTAATTTCTTTAATTGTGAGTTTTTCGATCTTCTAATTTTCCCATGTATGGCTTGTTTTCGATTTTCCAGTTTTTCAAATTTTCAGGCATCTGATCTTTCATTAATTATATCGGTTTTTAAAATTTTCCATTTTTCAATTTTTCGAGTTCACGATTTCTTGGGTTTTCGATGATAAATCGAAAATTCTAAAAATCGAAGAAAAATTGAATCGAAAAACTGAAAAATTCCAAAACTGAAACATCCAAAATTTTAGTTTTTCGAGTCAATTTTTCTTCGATTTATTAATTTTTCGATATTTGTTTTGGGGGTTTTCAATTTTCCAGATATTCAATTTTTTCGAACTTTCAAATTTTAGGTTTTTCGATTTGTTTTTTTTTCGATTTTTCAATTTTTCGGTTGTCAAGTTTTTAGATTTATATATTTTTTTAATTTAAATTTTTCAATTTTTCGACCTTGGGCTATTCGCCTTGGATTTCTTGATGTTAAAATTTTTCGAAGTTTCGATTTTTCGATTTCCCAATTTTTCGACATTTCAGTTGAGATTTTTCGGTTTTTAAAATTTTTCATTTTTCGAGTTCACAATTTCTCGGTTTCTCGATGATAGATCGAAAATTCTAAAAATCGAAGGAAAATTGAATCGAATCGATGTTTCAGTTTTGGGATCTTTCAGATTTTCGATTCTATTTTCCTTCGATTTTTAGAATTTTCGATTTATCATTTTTCGATATTTGTTTGAGGGGTTTTAAATTTTCCAATTCTACAATTTTTGATATTTAATTTTTTCGAAAGTCTAAAATTTTAGTTTTTTCGGGTTCTCGTTTTTTATTTTTCCATTTCTCAACTTTTCTGTTGTTTTTCGATTTTAGGCTATTCGCCTTCGATTTCGATGTTTAAATTTTTCGATGTTTTGATTTTTCGACATTTCAGTTTTGAGATGTTTTAATTTCTTGAATTGTGAGTTTTTCGATTTTCTAATTTTCCCATTTATCGCTTTATCAATTTTCCAATTCTTAAATTTTTTGATATTTAATTTTTCGAACTTCCAAAATTTTAGTTTTTTCGATTTGTTTTTTTTAATGTTCGGTTCAGTTTTACGAGTTATAACTTTTTTAAATTTAAATTTTTCAATTTTTCGAAGATATTTAATTTTTCCAACTTCCAAAATTTTAGTTTTTTCGATTTGTTTTTTTATTGTTCGGTTCAGTTTTACGAGTTTTTTAAATTTAAATTTTTCAATTTTTCGATGTTTCGATTTTTGGATTTCCAAATATTTCGACATTTCATTTTTGAGATTTTTTAATTTCTTGAACTGTAAATTTTTCGATTTTCCAGTTTTCTCATTTATCGCTTGTTTTCAATTTTCCAGTTTTTCAAATTTTTCATTTTGCGAGTTCACGATTTCTCGGTTTTTCGATGATAAATGGAAAATCCTAAAAATCGAAGAAATATTGAATCGAAAAACTGAAAAATCCCAAAACTGAAACATCGAAAATTTCAATTTTGGAATTTTTCAGTTTTTCCATTCAATTTTTCTTCGAGTTATTAAATTTTCGATATTTGTTTTGGGGGTTTTCAATTTTCCAATTCTTCAATTTTTTGATATTTAATTTTTTCGAACTTTCAAATTTAGTTTTTTCGATTTCTGGTTTTATTTTTCGATTTATAATTTTTTTTTTTAATTTTTCAATTTTTAGATTTTGGGCTATTCGCCTTCGATTTCTTGTTTAAATTTTTCGATGTATCGATTTTTGAATTTACCAATTTTTCGAGATTTCAGTTCTGAGTTTTTTTAATTTCTTGAATTGTGAGTTTTTCGATTTTCTAATTTCCCCATTTATCGCTTGTTTTTGGTTTTTCCAGGTTTTCAAATGTTCAGGCATCTGATCTTTCATTAATTATATCGGTTTTTAAAATTTTCCATTTTTCAATTTTTCGAGTTTACGATTTCTCGGTTTTTCGATGATAAATCGAAAATTCTAAAAATCGAAGAAAAATTGAATCGAAAAACTGAAAAATTTCAAAACTGAAACATCCAAAATTTCAGTTTTTCGAGTCAATTTTTTTTCGATTTATTAATTTTTCGATATTTGTTTTGGGGGTTTTCAATTTTCCAGTTATTCAATTTTTTCGAACTTTCAAATTTTAGTTTTCTCGATTTGTTTTTTTTTCGATTTTTCAATTTTTCGGTTGTCAAATTTTTCGATTTATATTTTTTTAATTTAAATTTTTCAATTTTTCGACCTTGGGCTATTCGCCTTGGATTTCTTGATGTTTGAATTTTTCGATCTTCCGATTTTTGGATTTCCCAATTTTTCGACATTTCAGTTTTGAGATTTTTTAAAAATTTCTTGAATTGTGAGTTTTCTGATTTTCTAATTTTCCCATTTATCGCTTGTTTCGATTTTCCGGTTTTTCAAATTTTCAGGCTTGTGATCTTTTATTATACTGGTTTTTAAAATTTTTCATTTTTCGATTTTTCGAGTTCACAATTTCTCGGTTTCTCGATGATAGATCGAAAATTCTAAAAATCGAAGGAAAATTGAATCGAATCGATGTTTCAGTTTTGGGATTTTTCAGTTTTTCGATTCTATTTTTAGAATTTTCGTTTTTTTTTTCGATATTTGTTTGGGGGGTTTTAAATTTTCTAATTCTACAATTTTTGATATTTAATTTTTTCGAACGTCTAAAATTTTAGTTTTTTCAGGTTCTCGTTTTTTTTATTTTTCGATTTCTCAATTTTTCTATTGTTTTTCGATGTATAATTTTTTCTTAAATTTCAATTTTTCGATGTTTTGATTTTTCGACACTTCAGTTTTGAGATGTTTTAATTTCTTGAATTGTGAGTTTTTTGATTTTCTAATTTTCCCATTTATCGCTATACCAATTTTCCAATTCTTAAATTTTTTGATATTTAATTTTTAGAACTTTCAAATTTTAGTTTTTTTTTATTGTTCGGTTCAGTTTTACGAGTTATAACTTTTTTAAATTTAAATTTTTCGATGTTTCGATTTTTGGATTTCCAAATATTTCGACATTTCATTTTTGAGATTTTTCTAATTTGTTGAACTGTGAGTTTTTCGATTTTCTAATTTTCTCATTTACCGCTTGTTTTCGATTTTCCATGTTTTCAAATTTTCAGGCTTCTGATCTTTCATTATATCGGTTTTAAAAATTTTCCATTTTTTGAGTTCACGATTTTTCGGTTTTTTTGAACCGAAAAACTGAAACATTTTTCTTCGATTTTTAAAATTTTCGATTTGTCAATTATTTTGGGGGTTTTAAATTTTCCAATTCTTCAATTTTATGATATCTAATTTTTTCGAATTTTTAAATTTTAGTTTTTTCGATTTCTCGTTTTTTTATTCTTATTTTAATTTTTCGACATTTTAGTTTTGAGATTTTTTTAATTTCTTGAATTGCGAGTTTTTCGATTTTTCGAATTTTCTATCTCTCGACATCTCGGTTTTCCAATTTCTAAACTCCTAATCGTTCAAGTTTTCGATTTGTCAATTTTCAGAATTTTTCCCGTCTCTGGATTTTTTAATTTTTCAAATTTTTAAAGTTTAGTTTTTTCGGTTTATCGATTTTTCCCTGCGGCACAGGGACGGGAGTATCATTTTCGTCACTGGTTTTACTTTATAGAGATTATCAGAAAAGAATCGCAAACTTGTTTAACAATATAAAAAAAAAGGACTCGTTGGACTGCACTTCAGAGGCAAGGGAAGTTCTGTCGAAATAACCTACGACCAATTTTTCATTCTTTTGCTTTGCTTCTCTGTATAGTAAATTTTATTTTTTGTAAAATTTGGAAGTATGTAGCGGAATTTATTTATTGTTTCATTTGCCTTCAAAAAAATTAATTTTGCTTTAAATGAAACCACACATGCAGATTAATATTATTATGTTACGAAACAACGAATTAATCTATCGAAGAAAATACTTAATATTCCGTACAAGTTTGAACCTGTCAGAATGATTCAAATATCGTGGGAGAAAATCATTCCTATGTAAATTAATACTCGCCTTCGCTTTTAAAAAACCTTGTATTTTTTTGTACTGTAACCAGACAATTACGTAATCATTTATGAAGGCGTAATAATATATTGTGATTTAAAGTAACTTTCTAAACTACTCTATCCGTTCTGTTTAGAGTTATTACAACAGAAGTCACTCAATGTTTGAAACCAAACATTTTTATTTGAGTTTGGATAATTTTTAACTCAGATTTTGTGTAATACAACTTTTTGTTTTATTTAATCCATATAATATTTTCTTCAACATCCAATTTCCAAAAATTATGAAAAATAAATGTTGACATATATTCTGGGCTATATTTTTAAAAATATATTTTCAGTAGGGCAACGTTAACAGAAATGTTCGAAGTGACAAGCACATTTTCAACAGAAAGTGAGGTTAGGATTGACAGTTGTCACGAGCGATGAGTAATCGTTTATGATCACAACGAAGCGGCAAAAATTCAGGAAATTTCATTCAAATTGATTCTTTATGATCACCTTGTATATTATCTCGTATTCCGTTGAAAAATAATTGTTTTTAGTCGATGTATAAATTAAATTCTTTCTAGATATAGAGCAGCAGTGTTCTTAAAAATCATTTTTCCCGACTATAGTCATGTTCCATAATTATTTAAATAATCAATAAATTTTAGAAACATTTCAATTTATAAATCGCAAAACAGATGGTACTTATTTTGACTGAAGAAATTGGAAACAAAGGCACTGAAAATGTTCACCAAATTCTTTTCCTTCTTTTTACAAAAAGTGACAACTGACGCAGATAGAAAATGTCAGTGTCACTTTGGAGTAAACCTACCTGAATATATCTCTTCATTTTGGGGTGTGTAACGTCTTTATTGACCATTACACCCCTCAAAATTTGAGATTCCTCGACTGACCCTCCTGGAATTTTTTCCACCTTTGCGTATCTCTTAATATCAACTTCAGTGCGGCCATTGTCTTCAATCAATACTGTATTAACTGCATCTAAAGCAATATTGACTGCTATATCTGACCAACGCCCTATAAACTTGGTCCCAATGCACCCTTTTACCTGAAAAAATCCCAATCAATAACTTATTACTCTTCAGCAACTACCCAAAACCTACCACATTGGCTAGAGCTGCCTTATCATTCCGGTCAATGGGAACACTCAAAGGCCCCTCCAATAACGTCACCATGTCTTCAAGGGCCTCTTTATATTGTCTAATAATGACTGTCGGATGCATATTCTGATGGAGAAACTGTTCACCAGCCGCCAGCATTTCACCCGCCAAGACAATAACCGAGGTGGTTCCATCCCCCACTTCCTCATCCTGTGTCCTCGCAATTTCGATCATGCTTTTGGCAGCCGGATGCTGCACCGTAATCTCTCGAAGAATGGCGTTCCCGTCGTTGGTCATGACGATGCCCCCCATGGGGTCCATCAGCATCTTCAACATAGCTTGCGGGCCCAGGCATGTCCGAATAACGTCCGCTATTTGCTACACAGACAAGAATAGGGTGTGACTAACCTAACCTCAAAACGTCGAGCACATGAAACTTTTTCGCGAAAAAACGCAAATCGGCTGCGGAAATTCGCGCTGAAGTGCGAATTTCTCGAAAAATGTCGCGATGAAAAAACACGTGCTCATCATACCTTTCCGGCGTTTATGTTCTCCAGCTGAACTTTTCGGCCGGATTCGCGCTTCGTGTTCTGGCCTAAAAGAATGAAATTTGTCGTGAAACGGTAAATGGTGGCTAAAAAAATGTTTCGACTTACTTAAAACTAAAATCGGTGCACGTCCTCCACCGAACATTTTGCCTTTTTTCGAGAAAACACCGGAACAATGCGAAATCCTCCTCCACAGACAGCAAGCTTGTACGCATGCGTGTGCAGCTAGTAGGTCGCTGTGTTACTGACAGAATTCAAATTTTAGCGTGAGCATAGGCCCGACCTACTCGAAATCAAGATCTATGACAAAAACACCGAAATTGGCCACGAAAAGGGTCGTGTTCGTGCTGGGGCCCCCGGGCTGCGGGAAGAACACCCAGTGCCGCATGGTCGCTAAGGCGTTTGGGTTCATGTATGTTTCAGCTGACCAACTTTTGAGGAATGAGTTGCAAAGCGCGGGGTCGCAGTATAAGGCGAGGATTGAATCGTACATGACAGATGGGAAGGTTGTACCTGGGGACATCACCTGCAGATTATTGGAAAGGTACTTGCAAAGTGCCAGGAAGATCAACTTCCTGATTGCCGGTTTTCCGAAAAATGAGGAAAATCGCGAGGCGTGGAACAAAGCGACAAAACACAAGGTAGACGTTGAGTTTATCCTGTGTATTGAGTGTCCTGAGGATGTGTGCATGGACAGATGTTTACAAAGAAGCAGCAGTACGCGAAACGAAGATTTCTTGGAGATTTTAGAAAAGACCATTACTACGTTCATTACAGAAACGCGACCTACCATTGCTTATTTTGAATCGCAAAGAATAATTCACTTTGTCAACGGGAATCAAAGTAAAGAAAAGGTTTTTGAACAAATTAAGAAGATATTCGAATCTTACGATATTCACCCTGTGGGAAAGTAAATAGTTAAAAGTATTCCTCTGCTTTTTATTTCACATTTTTTCCGCTACACAACAAATGACCAGGTAGTACCAGGTGCTAAGTTCATTGTGTCAGGTTCTGGTACCAAATTACCACATAATAGAAACACATACAACGCTTAAATGCAAAAAGCAATTTTAGTTGTTATAAAAATCTCTACGAAAATTAGGTTATGATTGGTATTTCTGACAGACAACGGGCACTCTTCAGTAAAGAGCGGATTTATATGCATAAATATTTGTCAAAATATGCGCACTTTTATGCCGACCAATGAGCGATCCGCTTTACAGAGCCCAATAAAAGGTAGAGATCACTTTAGCGCGCCAAATACAAAACGAAAAATGCTTGAACTCATGTTGCGTGTTTCTCCCTTCTTACGTGCAGAGTAGAAAGTGTTTTAAGCGAGAAAACATTTGTCCGTAAAAGTCACTGTTCTCACGCAATTTAAGCGTGTATGGTGAAGATGTTAAAAAATCAGCAATTATTATTGCTTTAATTTTCTCACTGCAATCAATTTAGTTCACTGTTCAATAGGTAATTGAAAAGTGGAAAGGTATGTCTGAGGTTACGTTGTATAATTATTCATTAAGTATTGAATATTTTCATGTAAGTACACCAACTTGTAATGAATGTCACAAGATATTTAGCAGTGTTTCGACAAAAAATCGGCACATGAAGACAATGCACAATATAATAATCGAAGAAAAAAAATTTAAACACATCCGTTGCTCTTTATGCCCATAGAACAGGAAACTCTCGTAAACCAGGAAATGCTAATTAACAGACTGACTTGAGTTAGAAATATGGAAGAATTTCAATTGTGGAGATCAAAGGAAAATAGAGAAGTAGATTACGCATGTGCTAGAAGTAAAAAAAATGGTCTAAAGAGTTTAGACAGTACTTCCCCCGCTGTCGGAAACATGACGACTGCATGCCTATTTTTTTTCTTATTACATATTATTTTATTACATGTAATATAATGCAAATAATAACTGTTGTATCTCCAAATTTTCTGGAAAACACGAAAATATAGTGAACTATTCCTGATTTAATCAATTAAAGAAATTGACTCATTAATTTTTTTGAGCACCCTGTTAAGCAAATCTAAAAAATATGAATGGAATGATAAATCGCAAGTACAGACTCATCATATTATGTACATTTTAGATAGGGCATATTCAGCAAAATTTTGGGGTGACGTCATCAATTTTTTAAGGGGGATGAGCAAATACATTTTGATTAAAAATTTACCATGCTTATGATAACTGTAAAACATCTCCAAGATTTCAAAACATTCGGTTTTGTAGTTCCTGATTAAATAAATAAAATAAATTCACGCATTCATTATTTTTTTTAGTCATCCTGTATATGCAAATCCAAAAAATATGAATGGAATGATAAATCACAAGTATTGTCTCATCATACTTTGCACATTTAAGATAGGATTTATTCAGCAAAATTTTGAGGTGACGTCATCAATTTTTTGGAGGGGACAAGTAAATATATTTTGAATAAAAATTTATCATGATTATCATAACTGTAACCCATCTGCAAGATTTCAGAGCATTTGGTTTTGCAGATTCCAAATTAAATTGCAAAATGTTGTTTCACAATTTTGATTTTTTTTTTTCAAAAAATCTGGACGTTTCGGGTAAAAACTCAATTCTCAGTCATAAACTACAATTTTGAAGTGACGTAATCACATTATTGGTGGGGATGATTATGCAAATTTTGGTAAAAACGTCAAATGGTGACCTGTTAATCTATTACAATTGTAACCGTGTAAAGTGACTCTTATGGTGCGTTGTTCAACGTAATTATAAAATGGATAATAACTGTTACAATCATGTGCAGACCGTCCCCTGATTTCTATACAAAGCCTGCATCCTTTGTGCAGATGACGCGATACATCCCGCCAGCTCGACCAGGAACCGCGCCCTCCGCTTCAGCCATGTATTTCGGTGTTCTTTAACCTCAATTCCATTTTAAATGTTCAATTTCTATGACTCTGGTATTAATGACAACTGAACAAGTGTTAAAGTTTCAAAAAGAGCAATAAACAACAAATAATTCTTATGTGAGATTAAAATTTGATATCAGTTTATTTGTACGATGGAAACATTCATCAACAAAATATTTACAAAACAAAACGATCAAAGATTTATGAAAAAAACCCGAAAGATTTGGTGTGAAATAAACTTGTGAGAGAGCATCAAAGTTTACGTTTAATTTAAATTATACAACAAAGAAAATTACTGAAGTTAAAATTGTATAGATAGAGAAATATTGTATGAGGTGAAAAATTGCAAAGCTAACAAATTTACATGAGATTAATACTTGCCATACTTTATTAACGATTCAAACAAAGAGTTTACATTAAATGTTAAATTATGTATTGACCACGTGATTGGTTACTTAAAACAATTAACTTTGAGAGTTTATAATATCGTGAACTGCTTACCCCAAACAAAACACATGATAAATAAACACAAAAATATCCAGTCTCGGTGATGTAATTTTTAGCGTTGCGAGGACATGCCTCGGTGATGTGATCAATCTTTAACGTTGCGAGGAAATGCCTCGGTAATAATGATAACGATGATAACTGCCTAAGGGAAAAAATTATTTTAACCCCCCGCTAGTTCACGATATTTTGAATCTTGTTAATTTAACTGCCATTAATGAACTATTAGCAATCTTGTGTAAAGAATTAAGAACACACTTACGTATTAGCATCCAGAAACCTCATTCATAACTTGTAAACAAAGGGTGTTATCCTGACTAAATGAATTTCATGAAATCTCCTAGTAAATGTCTGTCTAAGCAAATCTCATTTCTGTTAAATTATGTTAGAACCAGTTAACGATTAAAATCCTAACCTGATCGGTGAATTAACAAAGAATAAAAAAAAATTACAGCACGTGAAAAAACGAAAAACAAAAATTTCTATAAAATCAAAAATACAAACATTTTCAGTTTTAAAATCCAAAGATTTTAAAATGAAACTTGAAATATCGAAAAATTGACAAATCGAAAAATGAAAAAATTGAGAAATTGAATTGGATAATTGAAAAATCGAAAAATTGTGATATTGAAACCTGAAAACCCTGATTAATTAAAAATCGAGAAAATTGAAAAAACGAAAAACAAAAACTTCTGTAAATGAAATAATCAAAAATACAAAAGAAAAATTAATTTCAAAATCCAAAAATTTTAAAATGAAAACCGGAAAACTAAAAATTAAGAAATTGTAAAAACGAAACAGAAAAATTAAAAAATTGTAACATCGAAAAACGAAACACTGAAAAACCGAAAAATGTAATAGTTGAGAAATTGAAGAATTGAAAAAACACAGAAACTGAAAAATCGGGTAGTGGAAAAGCCAAGAATTGCACAATTGAATAATAAAAACCCTGATAATTATTTGAAAAAAGCGAAAAATTAAAAATCGGTAAATTTAAAAATTAAACAAATACAAAATTGTAAATTTGAAAAAAAAATATAAATGGAAAAATTGAAAAACCAAACTTGAAATATCGAAAAATTCAAAAAATTGGCAAACTGAAAATTGGGTAACGAAAAAAGCAATTAAAAAATGGAACAACTGAGAAAAAGATAGAAACTGTAAAATCGAAAATTTGTAACATTGAAACCTTAAAAAGTGATTAATTAAAAATCGAGGAATTGAAAAATAAAAAAAAAATTGTAAAATTCAACAGGTAGAAAATCGATTTTTTTATCTACAAATTAAAAAATAGAAAAATACAAAAATTTTACTAAAAAATCTAACAATTTCATAATGAAAATCGAAAAATTATCAATTAGAAAAATGAAAAATATAAAAATCTCGAATTGAGAAATAAAAAAATCGAAGAAACAAAATAATTTGGGATTACCTACTTGGAAGTACTTTATTTTTAATTTTACAATCTACAAAAATAGAAAAAACGAAACTTGAAACACCGAGAAATTTAAAAATTGTAATCTTAAAACTTGAGAAACTGAAAACTTCCACAATTGAAAAAACTGAAAATTTGAAAAATTGAAAAAAAAGGAAACTGTAAAATCGAAAAACTGATTAATTATATAATCTATTATATAATAATTCTAATAAAAATCCAGAAATAGAAAACTATGGAAAACAAAATTTTCTAGAAATAGAAAAATCGACAAATTGTAAAATTCAAAAGTTGAAGAGTCGAAAAATTGAAAAAAAACGAAACACTGAACAATAAAAAATTTAAATACCGAAATGTTGAAAAAATAGCGAAATTAAAAAATCGGATAACGGAAAAATCAACAATTGAAAAACCAAAAAATAAAAATATCTTATGTGTGTACTTTAACGCACTAATAATAATGTCCGGACGTAATTCCACATTAATAATCATTAATTACCTCTTTTACTTTTTTATTTACAGAATCGCTTGTTTTTCCTGAAATATTCAAATTATTGATTTGAAAATAATAACTGTAGAGATTCAATCACAGAGGCCTATACCAAAGCATTTATTTGTCATATCGAAAATACGGGATATGTAAATTGCATATAATCTACTCTCTAATCATCAGTAATAGGCAACGTTACAAAAATATTTTTATTATTTTTCAGTACAAAATTTTTACCTGAACCTGAAACAGCCTCTAAAATCATCAATCACTATCATCCTCAAGCACCATTATTCTTCGTCTTTTCACCTTTTCTTTCTCATTAGACTTTTTCCGCTTCCTACTTCTCTTCATCTCTTTCAATTTCTTTTCCAGCAGTTCCAACTCGGACACATCGTGCTTTCCCGCTTCCACTTCTTCAGTCTCCTCCACACAAAACGAATCCTGAAACCGCCTCACAGTAAAACAACAACCACACTTTTACAACTCACGTTCAAATAAGTATTATCTTCATTGTTAACCTCTTGAGAAAACACGTTCGAAATGTTGTGCTTAAACTTCTGCGGTATTTTAAACACCCCTCTGCGCGGACTTTTAACCGACTGCAAATACCTAGCGTGCATGTTGGTCGTGTTTAAACAATCCTGGGTGTCGTCGGCCACAAAACTAGCCTCGAAGCAATCCTCACCGCTGTCTTCGTCGGCCGAAATATCAACTCGTTCGTCTTCGGAAACCTCCGCTTCTGTTTCTATGAAGTCCGAAAACAACTTCTTGCGTTTCTTGGGTCGTCTTATTATTGGGTTCTCTGGTTTGTTCTTGTGGCTTGAAACAGCCACGGGCTTCGGTTTGGCAAAAATTGGACTTTTACATGAATCTTCGAACTCATCGTCACTATCCCCGGCTAGGGGAATATTAAATATAGTCGTTTTTTTCTTAGGGGTGTTTTGTGTGTTGGTTTTCTTCTGGGATGGTTTAGGACTGTCGAGGTTTTGTTTTAGCTGCAGAATATTTTTCTTAGTGCTCAGATTAACACCAGATTTTTGCGGTTTCTTCGTTCTCTGTGTCGCGTTTTCTTTTTGACTATGACTTAATGGAGCAGTGTTTTTTTCAACTAAACTCAACATCTGGGTTATAGAGAGCTGACTCAGTGTCTTATTGGCTGTTTGGGTTGGTTCTACTTTAGCAGGACTAGATTCAAAATCACTATCTGTCAAGTCGATAACATTAGTTTTTAGGTTTTTTTCATTCTTAGGAGTTTTTCTATCGCGATTTTGTGAATCGGCTTTAACACCTGGAGTTTGAGTTAAATCTACAACTGTGTCTTTTTGGGGGGTACCCAGAAAAGAAGAAAAGTCGCAAAAATCCTCCAAATCTGACAATTTAGTTGTTTTTGAAGTTTCTTCTTTCTTTTCGTCTTTTCGTTTTTGCGTATTATTTTGATCAGACGGTTCCCCAAAAAAGTCAGATATATCACATAAATCGTCAATGGTTAATTCTTTCCTCTTTTCATTTTTACTTGGTCCGGCCACTTCAAAACCAACCCCCGGACTATTTTCAACCAATTTTGACACTCTTTCCTCCTGGACGGTACTTTCGAATTTGTTATTTTTCTGGTTTGCTTGGCTAGCAGGTGTCGTTAAACCAAAAACAGATAAATCGCAAAGATCACGAATATCCAAATCGTCTATTTCTTCTTTTTTCGACGATTCTGGATTGTTTTTTCTTCGATCTTCACTTGATCTTTCACGATCTGTCTGCCCGCTACTAATAAAATTCGACAAATCACATACATCACTAACATCCAAAAAGCTCCTATTTTCTGCAACTTTGTTTCTTGTCGATTCATAAAAACTCCTACGCTTTAGTTTCAAATTTGACAATTTCGGTTTCTTGGCCACTTCTTCAACTTTCGAATCGAAAAGCTTTTTCTTCGCTTTTAAAATTTGCACTCTTTCATAGGAGCACAAAATTGGTGACCCTGGTGTTTCCTCGCAAACGGAATCATCTTGCTCCTTTTCAGAAGAAGGAAACAAGTCAGGAGATTCATCAAAAAGATCAGGACTTTTCTTTGGGGATTGTTCGACGCATTGGGGTGTGTAGATCACTGTTTCGTCCAAATCTGCTGCAAAAATTTCTTCCACAGACGATAATTTGAAAAAAATCAAAGCTTGCTTGTAACGTGTAGCTAAATCTTGACTTTGGTTTGTGACGGTTTCGAACTCTTCTTGGATCGTTTCTAGATTTCTAGAAGTTGTAGGTTTGACAGACGTGGTCTGTGGAAATGGCGCTTCGTCTGCAAATTCTTCCACCAGTGAATTTCCCAAAATACTCAAAACTTTGCCAAAATTTTTTGGAGTTTCATAAGCGAACGATTTTTCTTCAGCTGCCTTAGTAAGTGGTTCATCTGGATCTTCGTTAACTTGGAACGATTTAAGGATTTTGTCGAAATTCCTTGGAGTTTCGTAGGCCAAACTTTTTTCCTTGATGTCCATGGTGGAAGAGTGGGCGTCATCAAACTCGCTAAATGTGACTTCGTCAAACGCTTCATTATCTACTTCTAAAAAATCTTTGTATATTTCTTTCGACTTGGGGGTTAAAGATTCGGCAAAAACTTCCAGATCTTTCGCTGTTATACTGTCTAGAATTGAGACGTCAGGTACAGTCCAACTACTTAAGTCAATTTTGGCCGATTCTGTGCAGTCAATTTTTGGGCATTCAAACAAAAGGTCGCATGTTTTACAATTTTGCGTTGATGATATTTCAATTGATAAATATGTCGAGATTTCGTCGAATAGTTGTTGTGGAAATGACCGACTTGTGTCCTTTTCTTTATCAAAAATATGTTGCTGACTAATTGGGAGGTATGTTTCTGTAAAAACAAGTTTAGACTGATTTATGATAAACATATTAATAACACCTTGAGTTAAACTAATGGGTGCAGGTTTAGCAAACATACTCCTAATGTCGCCTTGTTTTAGAACCCTATCTTGATTGAAGTCGCTGAATTTGCCTAAAGTACATACTTAATATAAAAAAGAAAGCACAATCGTAAAATTTACTTATTTGTTGAGTCACCGGTAGGTTATATCTTTTAGAATCCGCAAACTGCAGCAAAGAAACAAAAATTTCTGTCTGTTTAGAATGCTTGATAGTCCCACTATCCTGAAACGACCTTTGTTTTTCCAAATGTTTCGAAAAATTTATTTTAGGTTGTTCGAAATCGAATTCAAGAGGCGACTCTACAATTATTACAACAAATAAAAAACTGCCTACAACCATTCAATGTTTGTACCCTTATCCCAAAAACTTTCGTTCTTAGTTTTGATCCGCTCCTGGATTTCGACAATCTCTAAATCGTCGCTAAATATCGGACCGCTGGAAGTTATCCGTTTTAACATGTCTCTCAGGTTGCCGCTTTTTCCCGAAACCTGAGGTTTTACTGTGATGAACATTTTTTGGCACTTGGGTTGGATATAAGAGGGGATCATTTTGGGGTTATCTCCGTATTTTCCGTCTTCGAGCTGGCCGGAGTTTGATACGAAATTCCCTAGGTTGTTTTTGTAAATTAAACAGTCTTTTAAAGTTTGTTGTTCTTTTCCTTCGGTGACCAAAACCACCACTCGTCCCTCTTTCTTTCTACCCGTTCTTCCCATTCTTTGGATCATGCGAATCGGTGATTTGTTGGCAATGTCGAAACATACAATTAAGTCGACGTCGCCTACATCTAACCCTTCTTCGCCTATGCAAGTTGATAGAAGAGTATTGCAAGTGCCTTCTCTGAAGGCTTTTATGGTCTGGAACATTCGAATAATTCTTGATTTTATTTGCTTTGTGTTTTTACAATATTACATTTATTTGGTCTTTTTGCGTCACTCCGGAACCTTGTCCAACGAAAACTCGGGATTTTATCAATGGGTGACTTCGTGATAATAAAGCGTACGCTTCTGAGGCGCTTTCTCTATATTCAAAGAACACAATAACGCGGGTGGAGGCTTCGGAATTGTTAAAATGCGTCACTAGAATGTCCTCAAGTTTGTAAAATTTGAGGTGTCCGAATTTTGTTGAAGAGGGGATCTAAAATTTTTTTAGATTAAAATTTTATCTGATAATTGTGACATAGATAAAGGCCATAAATTCCCCTGTTTCCTATCAAAGTGTAACCAAACGAAATCTATAATGGGATCGACTTACTTCGGTAAAAGTTCCATCTGGTAATGGTTGCACTGCAGCATCAGGCCCTAAGTATTCTCTCAAATCTTCTAGTATTCTTCGCAGATCTACGTTTCCGTTTAACAAAGGATTATTCATGTGTTCTAAAATATATCTTAATAAGACAAAATTATTTTGGCTTGATTGATCTTGTACCTTCGTAGAAGTTAAGGAAAGCTCTTAATCCACAGCGAATTAAAGTTTCATAGGCGTGATACAGAGTGATGCAAATATTTAGGCTTTTCATGATTTCTGCGTAATTCGGATTTCTGAAAATTTTAACTACATCGAACTTCTTTCAGATAATGGGTCAATGTAAATAACTACTTTTCTAGGCGCACAAAAATTGACTTTAAGAAGTATTTATTTTATTTCAAACGAAACATTAAATTTATTTAATTTATTTGTTATATAACGTTTGAAATTTCATGTAACAACTTCAAATGTCAAGATTGGTGTAACCTGGTAGGAGACGCCCGAGTAGAGAAAATTTGAGGTTTTGGCGAAGTTGCCTAAAAATCCTTAATCATTCTCGAAGATAGATTTTGACGAGGTGAATAAAAAAACATAAGGTGTTGATCGTTCTAGACCAAGATTCCAAGCGAAAATGAAAAATGAAAGAACAATCATTGTAGGTATTTTTATTTGCACATATGTTGTATAATTTTGGAAAAACTAAGCGGTCAAAAATTATGAAAAAATCGTACTTACGTACTATCGGGAAAAATAATCCAAAGTCGATACGACAACTGGTTTTCGTAGAGAAATTGAAAAATGTAAAATTTAAAAAATCGAAAAACTGAAAAATCAAAAAGACAAGAAATCGAAAAATTGAAAAATCCCAAAAGTAAAACATCGAAAACCTGTAAAATCGAAAAAACGAAAAACCGAAAAATCGGGAGACTGAACAATCGAAACGTCAAAAATTTAGATAATCAAGAAATAGAAAAAAACGAAAAGTCGAAGAATTTTAAAAATCGAAAAATTGGAATGTCGACAAATTGAAAAATGTAAAATTTAAAAAATCGGGAAATCGAAAAACTGAAAAATCAAAAAAACAAGAAATCGAAAAACTGAAAAATCCCAAAATCAAAAACTGAAGTTTTTTAAAAAATCGATCAATCGAAAAATTAAAAAATTGAAAAATCGAGAAACTGAACAATCGAATCGTCAAAATCGAAAAAAGAATTTTAAAAATCGAAAAACTGAATAATCAAAAAACAAGAAATCCAGAAAATGCAAAAATCCCAAAATCGAAATATCAAAAACCTGGAAAATTGAAAAATCGAAAAACCAAAAAATTAAAAACTGATTTTTTTTTTTTTAAATCGATAAATCGAAAAATTAAAAAATTGAAAATTCGGGAAACTGAACAATCTAAACGTCAAAATCTAGATAAATAGAGAAATCGAAAAAACGAAAAATCGAAGAATTTTAAAAGTCGAAAAAGTGGAATGTCGAGAAATCGATTAATCGAAAAATGTAAAATTTAAAAATCGATAAACTGAAAAATAAAAATAAAACAAATCGGAAAACTGAAAATCCCAAAAGTAAAACTTCGAATACCTGGAAAATCGAAACATCGAAAAACCGAAAAATTAAAACTGAAAAATATTTTAAAAATCAATAAATCGAAAAATTAAAAAATTGAAAAATCGGAAGACTGAACAATCGAAATGTCAAAATTTAGATAAATCTAGAAATAGAAAAAACGAAAAGTCGAAGAATTTTTAAAATCGAAAAATTGGAATGTCGAGAATTTGAAAAATGTAAAATTTTAAAAATCGGAAAATCGAAAAAGCACAAAATTAAAAACTGAATCATTTTAAAAAATCGATAAATCGAAAAATTAAAAAATTGAAAAATCGAGAAACGGAACAATCGAAACGTCAAAATCTAGATAAATCGAGAAATCGAAAAAACGAAAAGTCAAAGAATTTTAAAAATCGAAAAACTGAAAAATCAAAAAACAAGAAATCGAGAAACTGAAAAATCCCAAAATCGAAACATCAAAAACCTGGAAACTGGAAAAATCGAAAAACCGAAAAATTAAAAATTGAAAAATTAAAAAAAATCTATAAATCTGAACATTGGAAACGTCAAAACCTAGATAAATCGAGAAATCGAAAAAACCAAAAGTCGAAGAATTTTAAAAATCGAAAAATTGGAATGTTGAGAAATCGAAAATCTGAAAAATGTAAAATTTAAAAAATCGAAAAACTAAAAAAAAAACAAGGAATCGAAAAATTGGAAAATCCCAAAATCGAAACATCGAAAACCTGGAAAAACGAAAAATTGAAAACCCAAAAAATTAAAAACTGAAAAATTTTTTAAAAATCGATAAATCGAAAAATTAAAAAATTGAAAAATCGGGAAACTGAACAATCGAAACGTTAAAATCTAGATAAATCGAGAAATCGAAAAAACGAAAAGTGGAAAAATTTTAAAAGTCGAAAAATTGGAATGTCAAGAAATCGATTAATCGAAATATGTAAAATTTAAAAAATCGATAAACTGAAAAGCAAAAAAACAAATCGAACAATTGAAAAATCACAAAATCGAAACATCGAAAACCTGGAAAATCGAAAAACCAAAAAATTAAAAACTGATTTTTTTTTAAATCGATAAATCGAAAAATTAAAAAATTGAAAATTCGGGAAACTGAACAATCGAAACGTCAAAATCTAGATAAATCAAGAAATAGAAAAAACGAAAAGTCGAAGAATTTTAAAAATCGAAAAATTGGAGTGTCGACAAATTGAAAAATGTAAAATTTAAAAATTCGGAAAATCGAAAAAGTGAAAAATCCCAAAATCAAAACATCGAAAACCTGGAAAATCGAAAAATCGAAAAACCAAAAAATTAAAAACTGAACAATTTTAAAAAATCGATAAATCGGAAATTAAAAAATTGAAAAATCGAGAAACTGAAAAATCGAAACGTCCAAACTTAGATAAATCGAGAAATCGAAAAACGAAAAGTCGAAGAATTTTAAAAATCGAAAAATTGAAATGTCGAGAAATCGAAAATCCGAAAAATGTAAAATTTAAACAATCGAAAAACTGAAAAATCAAAAAAACAAGAAATCGAAAAACTGAAAAATCAAAAAAACAAGAAATCGAAAAACTGAAAAATTCCAAAATCGAAACATCGAAAACCTGGAAAATGGAAAAATCAAAAACCAAAAATTAAAATCTGAATTTTTTTTAAAAATCGATAAATCGAAAAATTAAGAAAAAGAAAAATCGTGAAACTGAACAATTGAAACGGCAAAATCTAAATAAATCGAGAAATCGAAAAAACGAAAAGTCAAAGAATTTTAAAAATCGAAAAATTGGAATGTCGAGAAATCGAAAATCCGAAAAATGTAAAATTTAATAAATCGAAAAATTGAAAACTCAAAAAACAAGAAATCGAAAAACTGAAAAATTTCAAAATCGAAACATCGAAAACCTGGAAAATCGAAAAATCGAAATATCAAAAAATTAAAAACTGAAAAATTTTTAAAAATCGATAAATCGAAAAATCGGGAAACTGAACAATCGAAACGTCAAAACCTAGATAAATCGAGACCGCAAAAAACGAAAAATCGAAAAATTGTAATGTCAAGAAATTGTAAAATGTAAAATTAAAAAATTAAAAAAAAAAACAAAAAATCGAGAAACTGAAAAATCCCAAAATCGAAACATCGAAAACCTAAAAAAATTGAAAAATCGGGAAACTGGACCATCGAAAAATTGAAAAATCGGAAAATCAAAAATTTTAAAAATCGATTGAAAAACCGAAAAATTTGAAATCGAAAGTACAAAAATCGAGAAAAATCTGAAATCGAAAAGTCAATTCTTATTAGAAAAATAATCTTCGACACCACTGGACCGACTATTGTCAAATTTTATATGTATTGAAAGAAATGCTTACAAAAACTTGTCTAATCGTCCCCACCAACGATTTGATGACGTCACCTGAAAATTTTGTATGGTAAATGTTATTTAAGTTTTCTCGAATAACATACTCTTGTACTTGTGGTTTATGAATCTGCCTTGAGTCTTTACCAGAGCCATCCAAATTTTCGTAAAAAAAAAACAAAATTGTATAACAACATTTGACACTAATATAAGAGGAAGAGGAACTCGTTAACCCAAGTGGTTAGGTCGGATTCGATCCTATCATGGGCAACTTTTTTCCTTACACTGTGACTAGATGTTTTTCTGAAAAACTGGATTTGTTTGATAGTGCTTCAAAGGCGACTAAAGTTTTGTGCATTGTTAAAAAGATGAAAACATTATTAATTACGGTACGGTATAACTCTACGATAAAGTCGATACGACAACTGGTTTTCGAAATATTCGCTTTCAAATTCAAATTCTTGAACAATCTCAAAATTTATCACATTTCAATTTAGCGATTCTGGGAAAATGGTAGCAGCTAGAGAAAAAATGATGCCGTAGGAAACTAATGCATGTTGAACATAAGAGAGGTAATTTTTTTGGGAATTTTCGATGATCGTCTTAGAATGGTAAAAAATTTCGAATAATCTGATTAATTAAAAACTTGAACTTTTGACGAATATACCTAAAAAAACATAATAAATTCTGGAAGATATATTTCGAAGAGCTGAATCGAAAAATTAACATGCTGAAAGTCCATACCTATATTCTATCTATCGGAAAAACTGGCGGAGGCGCCGGGAAAAACAAGATTTTTTTTTTAATACTATTTGCAAAGTTAATGAAAACATTTTTTAAAATCAACAATCTTCAATCAAATTTATAAAGGATCGTAATTCAAAAAATAGTCTTTAAAATTAAGGACAGTTAATAGAAGTCAAACGGATAAATTGAGAAGTAAAATGTTACCCCCTTATGGGGTGTTTTCAATAAACAAAAAAAATATATAATATAATAAAAATAAACATAACAAACCTATTTCCTGCATTCCTTGCCTGGAATTCTTTCATTACCATAAAAATTCTGCCTTTAGTCAAATTACAACAATTTCCATAAATCACTTTATACTTCATCAACGTCCGTGTATACCTTTCTAAAATCTAAACAAGACAACCCTCACTCATTATCCAACCTTTCACCCAAACCTGCACATATCGATCCTTTATTTGTTGCAACTTCTCTCCTAAAGGCACCACAACCGTCTCTAAAGCCCTTTCAAAAACATAAGGTTTCACATCTGGGCTATCCTCACTCCTGAACTCCACATGAGCAATTAACAAATTCTGCATAACATCAATCACATCCTTCGAACTATTCCCAGGTGTAGCACTCAAAGCAAGAACGCGAAAAAGTTTATTTTTCGGTAACAACTTCCTCACAACCTCACAGTAGGCATGATTACCCTTAGCTCTATGCGCTTCATCAAACACCAAAACCTTTATTTTACTCGCTAATTCAATAATAATCGCTAAATCGTTCTGCAGCACTTGCGGCGTTATAAAAAATACCCTTTTATTTTGCCAGATTTCGCCGCGGGATTGTTGCACTTTCGTGCCTGTTAATTCGGCGGTGACTTCTTTAGGTATGGCTGTAATGTTGTAGCAAGCGTCCATTTGTTGTTTGACTAGAGGTCGCGTGGGGGCCATGAATATTACTTTACCGTGGGGGTACCAGCGGTAGAAATTGTACATGACGACAGCTGCTATGAAGGTTTTGCCTAAGCCAGTGGGTAGACTCACCTGAAACAGTTAATGGGTCACGGAATTGTGGGAGTAATAAAGCTCACTAGTGTGTTTTTGTGTAAAGCTTGTTCGATTATGTTGTACTGGTAGTCTCGAACTGAGTAGTTTGTGGGGTAAATCCATGACTGACCAGCTTGTAAATCGAAGCCTGAGGTGTCAGGATCTTGGCACAGGTTTCCAACACTACAATTTTTTATTAAAATACACAAAAATAATAATGTCTATGGGTACTTACTCATTTACTTTTTGCGTGTTGACGTTGGACACATTCATTATAAAATAAAAAAAGCAATGTTTAATTGTTAATTATAAAGAGTGTACATTTTTTCTATTAAATATTATTTATTTACATTGTGTGCATAGGTTAGATTGAACATTTGACACTTTTGACACCAAGTCCAGCTTGGTTATAAAAGAAAAGTCCCTAGCTTAGTATTGGCGGAAAACTTTATTTCAAATTAACATCATAAACAGTAACCAGAAAGTACTATAAAGGTGTTTTATATAGAACAAAAATCTACTTCAAATTGCACAAATGTGCTTTTAAACTAAAGGAATCACTGGATTTATTAAGATTTATTAGTGGAGTAAGAGTAGGTCGTCCATGGGCACACTGGAAAGGTAAATTACAACCTGTCAATTTTTTAAGGTGCATAATGCACTCATTCCGTGATAATAAATCGCCGAATTTTATAGCACCTACAAATATTTATACAATCACGTAATTGTCTAAGAAAAACTTACCTCGGCAAGCTTCTGAGTTGACAATATTTTGGATAATTTTTGGAGTGCTTACAATAATTCCGTTATTTAGTTTTAAAGTTTCTATAATTTCTTTAATTAGAGTTTCGGTGAGGCAAACTACGTCCACTCCTTTTTTAGACTTATTATAAACACACAACGGTACTTCGGAAATTGTTATACCGTGAGTGAAAAAATCCAAACCTAAACCTAAAGCACTAAGATTAACCTTTTGTCGTTTTAGTAAAGTAAGTTCATTGTGTGGAAGGAAAATGGTAATCTGTTGATCGAGTTTTGTAGACGTGCTTTTATAACCTAGAGAATTATAGTAGTTAACTGTACTAAAATAATTAAGTGATTACTTTCTGAAAGTTCTTCCAACCGCACTCTCTCATGAACAGCGTGTTGATCAAACAATAACACTAAATTCTTTGTTTTCTCCAAAGCTGCTATAAACTTATTGTCTACTTGTCCAATGACTTCCAAATTTTTGAATATGCTTTTAGTGAAACTCATGTTTTCAAAACCTCTGTGTCTGGCACACTTGGTGATGTTAGGAATCGAATTTTCGATCAGTTTAGATTTTTCTAGGTAAATTTCTTCGAAGAATTTTTTCGGATCTAGAATGAATTTTGTGGTGGTTTATAATTAATTTGGTTAAATTAAATGATACCTTTGTTGCTAATGTAATTTTGCCACTTGATTAAAAGCAGTTCGTCTTCGTACGACTGTATCAGAGCGTTCTGCAACTGCTCTTTAGATTCGGGACTCATATCATCCACGTGTCCGTAATTTTTCAAAATAGGTGATAATCCTTTTGGTACAAATTCAAATCTTTCAGTTATTTCAAAACTAGAGTCTTTTTTGGGGTCGACAATTTTTGAGTTTTTTGGGTGATTAGTGCAATTGTTGATTTCTTCAACCCATTTTCCCTCAGCTTGAGTAACAGTAGGGGCTATGATATCTTCCGTTATTTCATTGTCATATTTATTTTCTCTTCCTTGATATTCTTCCACTTCAGTGCTGACAAGGTCGCTTTCAAAATCGGGTCGAGTTGATTTAGTAAACTGGAATAAATCTTTAGATTCATCTAAAGACGCATTTTTTAAATCCTTTTGTTTGTTGTCTAAAAATTGCAATTTTGTACAACTTTTGATCTTTTTCGGTGTGAAATATCTGCTAATACTCGATTCATTGAGACGCTTTTTGGTGTTATTTTTTTTAATGAAAGTCACTTCAGGAAAATTTAAATCGTGTTTTCTTGGAGGTGTTCTACATCTAGACATTGTTGGTGTTTCATTGTTAATAACTGGTTTCTTCGGCACAGGTAGTGTGTTTTTTTTCACAAAATAGGGTGATTTTTGAACACGATCTATGTGTGGTGTTTTGGGAAAAATTTTTTTCTTGGGAAAATATCGTGGGATGTTTAAATCAAGTCCCAAAGAAGCAGCACCCTTGTTTTGGATGTAATTTCCTTCAGTGTAAATCGAGCGTTGATCAAAATTTGCCGACACATTAAAATTTTTGTGATTTCTAAAATCAAACAATTTTCTAGTTTGGTTCATATTACCAAGTGGAAAAGTCGGATCAGCATTGTCCACAGAGAAAACATCGACTTGAGAAAAATCAAAATCGTAGTCGGATATAAATTTTGTGAGGGGTTTTCTAGGGAAAAACGTAAAGTCAGCGTCTATGACAGGCTCCAACATAGTGTAGTTGGTTTGTACACCCACAGAAACCATTTCTGTTTGCCGCACCTCATTAAAGGACGTCTGAACACCGGACGAAACTTTATTAGTAGCTTCAATTGTACTGGAAACCTCTACAGGACCGTGTTTTTCGACATTATCTTGTTCCGCCGGAAATGCCTTCAACGACAATATAAACATATCCATAATAACACCTTTCCCTTTTTTTTCATTTTCAGGAAAATTGGTAAACAAACTATTATTAGCAACGCTCTCTGTCTCACACACTTCTTTCTTGTCACTCTTTCTGATTTCTATAGGTAGTGCCATCATGGTCTGCCTCGACGGTATCTTCGGTTCTTCCATAAAAGGTGTATCGTCTATAATTCTGGCCGATTTAACTGACACGACGTCGTCCAACTCGTCACTTTTTCTCTTAACACCAAAGCCTCTAACCACGCCCCCTATCTGTGAAACCCCAAACTCGCTATTATCGTCCTTGGGTTTCGTTTTGTGTTTGACACACTGTATATTTTCCGCACCCAGATACGTATTAACCAATTTTTCAATACACCGCTTCACAGTATCGAACTTTTTAAAAAAGACAACGGTTTTCGTAGGTTCTAAATTAACATCGACGTCCGAATACGGACACTTGATGTGGATAACAAAAATCGGATTTTTCTTTTTCTCGCTTTTGTTACACTTCTTGAAAAGAGTGTTAATCAAATTTTGAATTTTGGGACAAGTGATGGGTCTTTTGTTCACGTAGATGTATTGTAATCGCTTGGTGTCGCAACACTCCTTGTGGATAAAACCTTCAACGCTGATTTTGTTTTTGCTTACTTTAAGTAGCGCGAAGTCGTTTTCGTTCACTTCCGGGTGTATCGTTTTGAAGGAACTAGCAATGTCTGGGCATTTTACGCTAGAAAGGAGTAATTTGGCGCCGACGTCGTTACGCAGAGTGAAAGATACGCGCGGATGGATTATGATAAGACTCTCTATATTCCGTTTAATGTTTTCTAATTCGTTAGTTTTAACACACTGCTGCCTTACCGGTAAATTATTCAGAAAACCTTCAACTGTAACGGTGGTACCAAAACTCGCTCGGATTTTCGCCAAATCGACTCTGTGATCGTCTTTCTCGATAGTTTTTTCGCACGTTTCGTCGCTGCTTTGTTGCCTTGTTGTTACAGTCACGCGATGTGAAATTTTCGCAATGTTGGCTAAAGCTTCGCCTTTGAAGCCGTAGTACTTTAGGTGCTTTTTCAAATCTTCCAGAGTGTGGCACTTGGTGGTCATGTAACGGATGCCCACTGACTCCAAATTCGAGCGTGAAATGCCTCTTCCGTTATCTACGACTTGAATGCGAAAGGTGGAAAGATTGACTCTGACTGCGATGGACGAAGATTTGGCGTCTAGGGAATTCAGGACCTGGAATTGAATGATGACTTTGGTGAAAGTGGTGTTTGCACCCTTACTAGTTCTGTCACACACTGGGTGACACTATTAATTGAAGAACTGCTGCGTAATTGCGCGATAAGGTTGTCATCAAGAGCTTCGATGGCCATTTTGAAATTTTGATACAATTGTGTGAGGCGGCTTTGAAATTTAGGGACTTTTGACATTGTCAACACCAAAATTTATTTGAAGTTTTGGGATTTAATAAAAATAAATACATCTTTTGTTGCTAAATAAACACGAATATCAATAGATTACACCTACACTGGAGTGACTAGCTGGAAATTAAATTATTTGGTACTTAAAATTAATTAACGTGACAATGAGTTATTGTGGGAATTCGTAATAACAAAATATTTCTCGTTTTATAAAAATCTCATTTCATAAAAAATATATGAATTCTTAATTTAACTTAACAGGAATTTTAGAATTGTAACATTAAAAGCATTGTGAAGCCAAGTGTATATACCCTCAATTTACCCGCTTTCATTCTTTTTTGTCCACGCGTGACTTGTCAACACCTTTTATTCCATTCAAGTGTCTTTTACCAGTTGTTGTTGTCTGTATGTTTCCTTCAACATTTTTAAATTTTCTTGTAGTGAGGCGACTTCTTCAAACCTTTGTGCTTTTCTTGCTTGTTCTATATAATTCCTAACAATATTCATCTGTTCAATTAACGGGTCCTCAGCTTCAGTATTGTCATTGTTCACAGTAGAAGGTGACCACCCTGTTGTTACAGTCACTTTTTTAATATTTGTCCTCACAGCTAAATAACTTTCTTCTTCAACGTTTCTCAGAGAACGTTCACGTTTAATTTTCTCAAGTTCTTGAATAGAAGGGGGCGCTGGTAACGTCAACAAATACTCCTTAATGTAGTTAGAAGTAGCTCTCCTAATGCTGTTTTGTAACAGTACAAACTTAGGTGTTTCTTCTTCACTAGGTAAAGAAGCAATTTTTTTACTCAAAATATCAATAGATTCGGCTTTTTTAGCAATAGTAGACCGTAACGCCTGAGTATCCTGTAAATGGAATGTAGTTTCACCCGACGTAAGAGAATTGTACATTTTTAAATATAAATCAACAGAACTCTGAGTCTGAGATTTCAGATTTTGTAAGTGGTTATATAACTGACAAATGAGAGGTTGTCTCATCTGCTCCATTTGCACCCGTCTGCGACATTCCAGCATGCCCAGGCAGTGATTGCAAATGCGTAAACTATCAGATTCTTTCCCTGAAACTTGCTCCCTGTTGTTAACGTCAACGTTATGGACGGGTGCGACGATGGCTTCTGTAAACATTGACTTTTTTACATGACAAAACACAAAAATTGAGCTTACGGGCTGTCTCATAGGGCAAAAAGTAGGAACACGAGTTGCACATAATACTCCCACATAACCTACAATGGTGCTGCCGTCTCGTTATATTAAAACTAGCTGCACAAGACGGACACCTAGTCACGGTCGTCCCATCCAACCAAGCTACAAGTTCCTGCTCCTGCTGTTTGCGGTCGGATCCATAAAACCTCAGTAACCTATCCAATCGAATAATCAGTTTGTTAGTTTCAGTCGTGCGATGATCGAGACGCTCTCTGCGGACAGCTTTGAAAAAATCTGTGTGGCTTCGGATTTGACCAGGGTTTTGCGGTTCGCTTATTTCTAAGTAATGTTTTTCCAAAGTAAGCTCGTTTTTGAACAATTCTAAGTCTTGTTCATCTAATTTTAGAATCTTCTTTTTCGCCTTTCCGTACAAATCTGGGTAATTACGAATTTAATTCATGATTGACGTTCCACATAACCTCACCTTTTATGGATTTGAGAATGTCCTGCTCTTCGGAATGTAAGTCTTGGAAATGGGCTATGAGGTTATTCGGAGAGCGTAGGTCTTTGTGGCAAATGGGGCATAAAAACCCTTCTTTGATTAGGTTTGCCTCGGCCATCGATTTTTGTTAATTTGGCACCATTACAAACGTCAAACATCTGGCACTGGTTGACACTTGACAGTTGACAGGTGAAGTTAACAGTGACAGAAGGCAGGACCGTCTCTTCAACAGGGTAGCATTTGAAAAAATAAATAGCGTTGATTGTTCGTAACTATTACTTGACGTAAATTTATAGGTATTTAGGTCATTTTTTTTAATCGTGTCGTATTTTCAAGGTATTCAAGGTACAGAAGCAAATGATTAATTTACATGAAGGTGTTTATGTAATTACAATTTCCATAAATTAGAAGATGAAAGCGATAATGTTACTGTGGCGATAATAATAATGAATAAAATGGTTTATTTTGTACTAGAATGTTTCAGTCTATTTAGTATCTAACTAATTTTATACCTATTGGTGTCCAGACGCAAAAAATTACAAATACTCGTAAAATTAGTAAATTATATCTTAGTAACCTTGGATTCGCAATCATGGTCAACTGTGATTACTGATTAAGTATAATTTTAAACGTGTAAACACAGATACTAAGTGTCAACGAATTCAAGAACTAAAAGTCTATGATGTCAACGCTTTTGTTAACTATTGTAAAGGATAGATACTCCGTTACCTTAAAGGAATATGCGAATAGGTAAAATTGAAGAAACATTTCATTAACTAAATACATTGACCCAGCTTTTAGGACAAATTTGTTAATTGAGAAAAGTTGTTTTTTTCTATTTGGTTACAATATACGTGAACTAGTCATAAAACAAAAAACTGATGACGCTTTTCGTAACTAGTGAGTTTAATTCCAGCTTCAGGTCACATAATTTGGCATTAAACATTAAAAAAAATCTACTCTATTTGGTCAAATAGACGCTTAAGGTCTAAAAAATGCGTGGAGCTCCTATGAAAAAAAATCTCTGATGTTCTTAGATAAAATACAGGGTAATTATAAAAGAAGGTATATCAATTTTGACTTTGGAAAATCTATCACTGCATTTTATTTAAGGCAGGTAACAATCTCTCATTCGGGCTGTATTATTGGTTATCTACCCACATGGGAAGAACGTAATTTTTTTATGTGCAAACTTTTGTAATCACCTTGTATATCGGAATTTTAACTACAGAACCCGAATAAGGGTGTTTGTTGAAATTAGTATACACATTTTATCTGTTTTATTTAAATTTATCACATTTTCTCGTATCTGCAGCCCGTAATTCAGAAATACTGGTTAAAATAAGTCAATATTTAGTTATAATATGATCGGAAAAAAATCGTCTAGCAACCATTAGAATTTAATGTAAAAAAAATTATGTTGGCAACACCAATCCGTTCCTTGTTTGGTTTGCCAATTATGGTCAAATAATTGACAAATAATTTCTATAAAGGTACTGATGCGACGATTGTTATCTATTGTTGCATATTATTTAATATACAAGGTGGTACTAAGCGACCGGTTCTCAATATCTCATGGGAGATGGGAAAAAGTCAAGGATTAAAGTTTACAACTCTTTTTTAAAATTATTTTCAACTATACAGAGTGTTTTGTTTTCGAGTTATACCACACATCTTATTTTTTTTAACTAGAATGCTCTATATATTTTTACATATTCTTATAGCCTCTTCCTAGGCTTTACAATCTTAGTTAATTTTGGAAATTCCGATGTAACTTTGCCACGTTATTCGATTAAAAAAAAAACAATACAAGAGTTCACAAAAAATAAATCGTAATGTCGTTATTTATTATATATATATGTTTTGCAATATTTTATGGAGGGGTAAACAGAGGTACACGCTTTGTTATGGTATCAATTAAATATAATTTTAACCTACAGAGTGTTTATAAAAAAATGAACTTTACAGTTTTCAAATATCGATACATATTTCAGTTTTTTGCAAACAGAACACTTTGTATTTTATTACTGCATCTTACTCTATTTTTTGTTCTGTTTCTTTTAATATGTCAGTATGTTCATTAAAAAAGTAAAAAACCTGAATAACTACCAACTTTAAATATAGAAAATACTTCACAAAAAAGAAAGAGAACGAAAAATATAATATGATGCAGTAATAAAATATAGTGTGGTCCATTTGAAAAACTGAAATATCGTGAAAAACTGAAATATCGATATTAGTAAATCGTTATAATTTAATTTTTTATGAACGACTGTATATTAAAATGCAAATTTGTTTACATCACAATAAAGCGGGTATTTTTATTTATCTTTCCATAAAATTTTGTAACCCAAATTTTAAAAATAAAAGCTGGAATAATTTGGCAACGTTGCATTGAAATTTCTGAAATAAAGTATGGTTACAAAGCCTAAGAAGAGGTTAATCAGAATATGTGAAATAGTACAACTTTAGTCTTAGACTTTTTTTTATTTCTAATAATTTATCAGATATCGAGGCGCACTCGCTTAGTGACTCACCCTGTATATAGGGTTACTAAATTTGATTTCTGTTTCATAGTTCTACCAATAATATGCAAAAATTTTCCCTAAGTTTTAAAGTTTGAGATTTTCAGTTACCTGAAGAGATCACTCTAGTCCTGTACGAGTAGAAATGATAAAACAATTTTTAATTGGAGGTACAGGGTGGACAATTTTTAGCTTCTACTATAGTTTTCCCAGTTCAAATTCGGTTTTATGATGTGTAAAGTTAATTTCCTTAACAATAGATTACTACTGGCGGTGATGGGACAGTCATAAATAAGGATTTAACCATGTCGTTACCATTACACATGGTGAAATCCATTCACTTCACTATTACACAATGGGGTACTATCATAAAACCGAATTATAACTGGGGAAACTATACCAATATTATAAGAGACATAGTTCTGGAGGCTTATATGTTTTTGTACTCATTTTAAAACTACTGGTAGGCACAACACAAATATTTAAAATTTTACAGCAATCGATTCGTTAATAAACCGTATGAAAGAAAATTTAAGTTTGCAAAAAAAATATTTTTTGGAGATATTTCCGAAATTGTTTAAAAAATTATCTCTTTTCAGTAGACTATTTTTTTGCGACAAAATTACTCAACTTTGTTTAAATTTAACTGAATTCTCTCCCTTACTGTTTGCGATTTATCAATAGGGAAAAAACCTAGATGTATGGTTGTTTAAAATCCACCAGTAATGTTGACCGAAATATTTTTAGTGAAGTCCTTGGGGTTAGTAAGATTAAAGAAAAACAGTAATGATTATCTCATGTATTTATTTACAAATTAATTTTTTAATGTAACATTATTTACATATAACTTGCTGTTTTATTTCTTATCAAATACAATTTTTTATAAATCCATTGCAATAAATTATGTGATACAGAGCTCTGTAAAAATATCATACATTCGAATGCACAGTAGTAAATCTAAAATTAATAACATCTACAAATTAGCGACAAAGTTAGATTTCATAACAAATTGTACAATCAAATGTTACATTATAGATATATAAATTTTACAATATGGTACAGTGTTAGTAGAAAACTGCTTCACGCTTACCCCGACAGTAACAACATCAACAAAACATCAATAGTTAATATAATAAAGACAGAACATCGCAACACAATAAAGACACCGAGAACTGGCCACCGAAGCGTCCTCACTGCCCACGCTTATTTCCACGTCCGTGCAGAACAAAATCAGAAGAAACGGCGATATGTGTTAAAAATTTTGATTTTCTTTCGAATCGCGCGCTTCGCTGGCCATTTCCAGTCAACAATTAACAATTTAAAAAACAAGGTGATTGTTCGTCGTGCCTCTCCCCTGCAGGAAGGTGGTATCCATGGTTACGGCGGCGGCGTGCCTAGCCGCCCGCCGAGCATTCGGCGGCGGTGGTAGAAGAGGAAAGAGGCGGCGAGCAGGGGTGTTAGAGCGTTCAGGGGCGGAAGCGGCGACGGCTAGTTGTGGGGGTGTTAGGGACTGGCGGGCAGGCTCTCGTCGCTTTCGAGGTAGGTAACGTAGCTGTCGGTGCTGTCGGGGTGCGTCATGACGTCAGACGGCGGCGCCGACGACGGCAGCATCCCGGGCGGCGGACCCGTCGCTGGGCCCATGGATGGGGGCGGGAGGTCGTAGCCGTGCATCTGGAATTAAAAATTTAACGTCAGCGGCGGAAAAAGGGGGACGAATTGAAGATGACGGCTTTGTTCTCTACGAGAGTTAGTAGTATAGAAAGAGGAATAAAATTGAAGCAGAAAAAAATCGATGTGGCTTTTTTATGACGAGATCAGATATTTTTAAAAAGGTACTTTACTCGTATCTACAACACTTTAGATAGAGCTTCCCTTGCATCTGAAGTATAATCAGTTAAACAAGTTCGTTTCTTATCCGCTTTCTATGTAGTTTCTAATTTTGGAATACACGTATCAAAGTATTTTACAGATTTTTTTAGCAAAATTGGCAGTAGATGTCATCAACTTTTTATTGGGAACGAACAGACAAATTTTGGTTACAATTAAATACTTAATACATGTAAAATTTCACAATAATTTCTCAAGTAGTTTCGGCAATTATTTATCTAATAACATTATCACGACAGACGACAGACACATGGAAACAGGAGACTTTTATGTCATATACCTATACTTTTTTATATCTTAGTAACTATTTTGCATTTAACAAATCAAAATTTTGGAGAACACTTTTAGACAGTTTCTAAAATAACTAAAATTTGATTACACAAATATATATTTTTTTCAGTCACACCAGTGCTCACAACACAATCTTCATGATAACGTTAAAAAACAATTAAAATTTCAAAGTAATTAGTAGGTATGGTTATTTAGAGAGTTTTTTGTTTAAAAAAATCAATTCGAATCTTTACATAATATGAAAGGATAAATGAACTTGCACTTTTGTATTCTGCGAACTGTGAAGCGTCAAGATGAGTATGCATTTATACAGAATGTTTTTTTATTTTTGTAACTTGTTATTTCTTTGTCCTAAGATTGTCTAGGAATATTAGATATAAATAAAAATAAGAATGGATTCATAAATTGGACACTTGGCTGTGTTTCAGAAAACGTATGTCGGTAATACTTTTCGAACTCCCAATCTATTTCTCTCTGACTGCCAAAATTTGAACGACAAGAATTTGACAACTCAGTGACTTTTTACACAATCGTATCCATCAAGTACAGATTCAAAATTTTGTTTTTAGGACCTCTTGCGATCATACATTATTTTGCTCGGCATACACAGGGTGGATCAATAAGCGCGCGCTCTTCGATATCTTATCAAGTATACCTACATTAAAAACAGAAAAACAAAATTAAAGACTAAAGTTAAAATTATTTTCAACTGTACAGAATGTTCCGTTTTTACGGAACCTAAAATACAACCACATCTTTTTAATGATGAAAAACCCTATATATTTCTACATATTCTTAGTGATTTCTTCTTAGGTTTTATCTATAACCACAGTTTATTTTTTGAAATTTCAATGCGACGTTGCCACGTTATTTATTCCAGTTTTCTTGAAATTGTTTAGCAATGGAAGAGTTCAGACAAAAAAATCGCAGTAAGGTTATTTGTGTTACAATATTTTGTGGGTAGATATTTAAATAAATGTGCACGCTTTGTTGTCGCATAAATAAAATTAAATCTTAAAAATCAGATTGTTTAGGTATAAAAAAATTACATATTTGCAATTTTCAAATAGAACACTCTGTATTTATTAAAAAAAAAAACGTAAATTCTTCCCTGTGATTAATAGATATGTGATTTGATATCTGTCATTTATAAATAATCTGTTTTTAATACAGGGTGATGAGAAAATGACCTACAAGCTCGATGGTACGTTGTTAAGGAGGTTCTGAAGAACTCAAAAAAAAAACCTCCACCAAACTTTTGAAAATATTAAACTTCTAAGTTGAAGAATTAACTTGGTAATTCTGATTCGTTTTAACGAAGTGCATGCCTAACAGCCAGTTAAATAATCAGTTATTAATAATAATTTGATAATAATTTGGTAGAATTCGATTCACGACATTTTTTGCATCAATTAAATACACAGAATTCAGAATTACGAAGTTAATTAAATTTTGCAGTTTAATATTTTCAAAAATTTGGTTCAGGTATTTTTGCAACCATTTTTTTCGAGTTCTTCAGGACTTTCTTAACAACGTATCATTGAGTTTATACGTCATTTTTTCATCACCCTGTATTTCAAATTCTTATTATTTTATTACTGCATCTTATTATGTGTTTTGTTATTTTCCTTTTATGTTAAGTTCTTTTCTATGTTTAAAGTTATAACTACACATTGCGATTTTTTACTTTTTTAAGACACGCACACAATTATTTTGTTTTTGGAATTTTGATGACGCTACCAAGAAAAACAAAGCTAGTAAAAAATTGTAGAAGGTTATTTTGACAGAAGTTCCCTCGCCTTTGAAGTATGGTCTGATAAATTCCGCTTCTTTAAAAAATTATAAAATTAGATTCTGCGATTTTCGTTTTGTGATAGCGGTTAACCTCTATAAAGCGGCGTAATTAACATCCCCGCAACCCCTACGTCTTTAAATATGAAATATATTTAAAGCAGATAACTAACGGGAAAAATGTTGACAATTTCAATTTCTCAGTATATGCTTAATTTCGACTGTTTATGTTTATACTTGGACCGAATTCGATTAGTACTAGCATAAATATCAGCTATTAAAAGAAAATGAAATTTGGTTGATTTTGTGTCCTTAACCCAGAGGAAAAGACTGCTTGATTAATTCATACGCAGTTTATTTCCCAAAAACACTAATAAATTTGAAGAAATTCTGCAAAAATGTGAGGTGACGGACAAATTTTGACTAACGATTTACCATCTTTTAAATAATCTTAAAATAGTTTGTTTCGAAAAATCTAGATGCTAAAGGTAAAAACTTAACACGGATTCATAAATCACACATGCAGGAATATGTTATTTTATAAAATTTAATTTTCTAAAATTCAGAATGACGTCATAATTTTTTGGGAAGGCTTAAACGAACAAATTTTGATTAAAGATTTATCATCTTTCCTATAACCTTAAAATGTTTGCAATATTTCAGTACATCCGCTTTTGCAATTTTCAAGTTAAATTGTAAAATACAAGTTTGAATTCTTTCCCAAAAATCTCGATGTCTGGCGTAAAAACTCAACGCGAATTTAAATTAAACATACATGGAATATGTTAGTATGTAGCTCTATAAAATTTAAGAAACATTTGTTCTACAAAATTATAAAATGACGTCATTATTTTTTAGGAAACCATAAACGAAAAAATTTTGATTAACGATTTACTATGCTTACGATAATCTTAAACTTGTAAGATTTTAAAGCATTCGGTTTTACAATTTCAAAGTTAAGTTGTACAATGTTACACAGTTTTGATTTTTTTCCCCAAAAATTTGGATGAAAACGCGACACGGATTCGTGAATCACACATGCAGGAGTATACTATAAAATTAAATGTATAACACAAAAAAGGGACAAATTAGTAGTAAGTAAATTGGTAGGTTTCAACTCACATTTTGTTTTTTAATTTATTATAAGGTGCTTTATCATTTTAACAGGCCAGTTTTGACGTTGAAGTGTTTTTTTCTATTTTTTTATAAAAATCTCAAAGTCAGCGGTTTCTATATGGATCTGCTGAAATCATGGTCAAAATCTTTAGAAATTCACAACATTTTAAAAAACAACCTTAAAAATGCGGTGAAATGTTAAAAAAAATGTATTAAAAAAAAACTTCACGACAAAAATAGACTTTTTTACTTTATAAAAAACATGATAAAGTACCTTAAACTAGATGAAAAAACAGGTAGGTAAAAAAGCTTAAATAGATGAAAAAAAAAATGCGAAGTGAAACGTACCATTTTGCTTTGTACTGATTTCAGATTAGAAATTTCATCTAAAGTGTCCGATAATCCAATCCTTAAACCCGAGTTGACAATTGGATTTGAAATAATAAACAATGTTTTTGGAATCACCAAAAACCATATTTGATAAATATGAATTAAGTCGAAAAAATTGTAAAATCATGTCATTATTGTTCTAGAGGGCCATAAACAAAAAAAAATGATTAAGGATTTACCATGCTTAATACAATAATTTAAAACGTTTCCAAAATTTCACAGCAATTTCAAAGTTAAATTGCAAGATGTTGTAGTTTTGTTTTTTTTATCCAAAAATCTGGATATTTAATATAAAAATTCAACAGGGTTTCATAAACCACGTGTGCAGGAGTATCTCATTTTATAAAATTTAAATTTTGGAGATAACGTCAACAAATTGTTGGTAGGGATGATTAGCCAAATTTTGATCATGTAATAAATTCGTAATACACATAAAATTTAACAACTGGTTCAGTAGTTTCGGAAATCTGTCTAATAAAAATCCGGACAGACGGCAGACACACAGATAGACAGACATACGGAGCGACCTATTGTTTCGTAGTGAATTTACTCTCGGAAAGTTAAAAGATACTCTTATTTAACATTTACATATATCGTTTTTTATGTATCTGTTATATTTTTACGAATATTTATTGCATTTATAATTGTAACATCCTGCATATGTGAAAAATGTAAATAATTGTAGGTATAAAAAAAGACGTAGACATATTGAAAGAAAGAAAACAAAAACCAGAGAAAGTTGCAGTAACAGAATACAGCGTCTTCCACTTGATAAAACTGAAATATCCATATTTGAAAATTGTAATTTTTAGATTTTTTTATAAACACCTTGTATACTAAAATTTGATTTAATTGATACAATAAAGCTCTGTTCATCTCTTCGTCAAATATTGCAACATAGATTTTAAAAGTAACATTATTGTGATTTTTTTTGTGAACTCTTAATATATAACGTGGCAACGTCACATTATAATTTCAAAAATGAACTAAGTATTATGTACAAAACCTAGGAAGAGGCTCATGAGAATATGCAAAAATATATAGGCTAGGTTGTTTTATTTAAAAACACTAAGTTGTGTGCTATGTCCCAAAAACAAAACACTCTGTATAGTGGAAAATAATTTTAATATATATGCAACTCTGATTTTTTGTGATTAGAACGATGCATTTAGTGACTCATCCTGTATATTTTAAACAAAATTTTTAAGAAAAGTTTCCATGTTTTTATTTTTTGAACGATAGCTGTATGTTTTTCGAATTATTTGAAAACGAAAATGTACAGTTTGTTTGCTGCCTGTGCCTATCTTTGTTTTTTCAGAAATTTCTGAACCATCCATGACTCCGAATTTTTAAAATTAACACAAATAGAGTAAATTAGGAACGAAAATTAGCTTATTCTTTCCATTTTAAAAAATAATAATTAGTTGACAATTTATGTGGGCTCTCCTAAAAAAAAACTTGTACCATCAAATTTAACGATTAATCTCGGAAACTGTATAAGATACCTACTTCTCTGATATTTCGGCAGAACAAAAACATAGATTTAGCGATTACAGAACGTTAATTAAAATTTATTTATTCATCCTTCCAAGAAAATGGGTACCATTATCTCAAAAATTGTTAGAATAGTCATTTTGTTTGTGCCTCATAATATGCTGTATTTTTTTCTAGTTGATTACCTACGCAGTATCAGAAAATTAATAATTTTTTCGGTTACTTACATTGTATTTATCAAAAGTTATAACGACCTCTCAAAAAATTACAAAAAATGTGAGAGATTCTGTCCTACGTGACACAAGTTTGATGTAATTTTTTGCTCTCATGGATTATTTTTCTACTGCAGTTGTAACGTTTCCCTTTGTTTTTTTCTTTTGGCATTTTCTTTCATCCTCAATTTTTAGAAAGAAGTAAATTTTAAATTATTCTTTGAAACGCTATTTACTATTCACATTAAGTTATCTGGAAAAATTATCAGTTTCAAAAATTTTAAATAAATCCATCTGTTGCAGCAATACAATTCATACATACATGATTTTAGTCCCAAAATATTGCATACAGTGTGTCTCATCACTTATAGGGATGGTGGTCTGGGACATGGGCTTGAGCTGTCCATTTATTATTGACTTAAAATATGAGCACTATATACATATGAAATTTTCAGTGTGCCGACAATTAATAGTACATTGAAAGTCAACCATCAATCCGTAACTTTTTTTTCTATCCTTAGGGTATCTGTTTTTACATCAGAAAGATCAAAGAACGTTTTACTAGTCGGTAATGAAAAATAATAGAAAACCCCGAACAGTGGAAATGTAGATTTCTTTTATATTCTATATTTTGTTGTACTTTATAACACTTCCTTACACTTATAAGTAATAATATATGTTTACAGTATTCACGACGATTTAATATACAAATAAGACCGTATAAAAAAACAGAATGGTTTAAAGTGGAGAATAAAATTCTTCAATACGTTTTTACTTCTTTTAAGTCTTGTTATTCTACATTTTTCATTTTTGAGCCTCCAGTTTCACAAAAAAAAAATCGTGGCGACGGAAACCTAATAAATATTCTAAAATCGCCTTTTACGCTCCTGCAGAGTTGCACATTCTATCCATTACGAGATTTTTATGATAATAAGAACTAAACTACTCAATTCAGCGAAATCTGAATCTATTACAGCCTACATTATTACAACTAATCTTCTTTTATCACCAAATTATAATTTTTTATTACACACGGTTTATCGAAATTCAGTAACAATTAATAGGTTTAATACCTCATCCAAACCGCTACAACCTAGTCAAACAGATTCACTTTTTACACTCATTCTAGTCTACAAAGGTGCAAATTTCGAGCAAAACTCGTGCGAAAAAAACGATTGTCCTACCTGGTTGACGAGTTGCTGAAAGGCCGGCTGATGGGGCTGCTCGAGATCAGCGTGAAGGGCGAAATCTGATAGGGCTTTCCACGGAGGTTGGTATGCTTGGACTTCCAAAGGGAGGACACCGATGGGCGAGTCGTGTCGAACTGGCGACGACGCAACCATGGGGATACCTTGCATCGCCCCGTAACCCAGCTTTCGGCCATCCTGCACGTAATACTAGGTTATGTTAGACATTTCGGCGGGGAGAACATAAAAACTGCTATAAAATTAATGGAAAATAAATGTGAGGATGTATAAAAAGTCATAACTATTATCGACGGTGGACTGAAGCGGAGCATTTTTATAGTAAAATTAATCGATCGGTGTTCGGTGGCTCGGTAGTTATTCGAGTCATATATCACACAACTGGTGTCTGTCATAAAATTAGAATTAAAGCCGATGTTTTAAGACCTAGTAATCTCGTGCTAATGCACTGTGCGGCGGGAAGTGCTAAAAATATTGTTAATTGAGACCTTCACTATTTAGGGAATATGTAGTATTAAATAGAATGCATATTTTAGTTTTTTTTTTTAGTTGCTGGTTATTTTCATGGACTGACATGTTGCTACAGATTGTGATATTTAGCAGATACAAGCACTTTAATTTAGGAACCGAATACGTATATCTACTGTAGAAATTATGTTAAACCTAATTCTAAGACAGCAGAAATAATAAACTTATTTGTTTACTTATCTTAGAAATATTGGTTAACTAAAATAAATATTTTATTGCAATATGTAATAATTGGTGTCCATGAAAATATTAAAATCGAAGAAACAAACTTAAGACACACAGTCTGGTGAGGGAAAACCTGAAATTTCAGTTATTGTACCTATTCGTATTTAGATGTTTTTGGTTTTCGTGATAATTTTTTTCATTGTGAAGATTTCATATCTCTTACGAATGTATGTTTAATTTTATTTATTATGTTGAACCTATTTCGATATTTTAGTTATTCTAATGAACGAAATAACAAAACGTGCGATGGCATAATATTTTGCAATATTTCGTTGCAATTTTTTGAGATCAGTAGATAGGTATACCTAATAACATTGTTTGTCAATATTATTTATTTTTTGAAATCCCCTATCAAATTTAATTTTTCAGAAGACAACTAGGATTAAATCTAACAATGAAGAACTTTATTTCTACAATGCAAATAGACTTCATTTCAACCAATTTAATTTAACTATTAAATTTAACTTATCTAACAGATTAAATAAAATACAAGACCCATGGGAGCTACCTAGTATTTGAAAAGGAACATTGGATTTTGTTATAAAGTAGATAAACTTTTTTTAATTATAATTAATTGCCCAAATGATGATTTTTATCTATATAACTAATTTTTACATAAAAAATAAATAAATCCAAACGTTAAAAAGGGTAAGTATCATGGATATTACTATTATTATTGTATTATTAATTATTATTTACATTTTTTTTTTGCAAATATCATTGTTTCCTCATTATATATAGTACCTACGTTCAAAAAATGTCCAAATGTAGAAGATGTAGCCCTTCAAGGTTTTTTTTTCGAAATTTCACCATATTTTAATTGAGTACCTACTTTGTGTTACCTATGTGTCTGAAATAAATTGGACTTTCATTATTCAGAATAATTTTGAGACTTCTGGTTTTATTTACAGATTTCTTCATTTTATAACATTTAAGAAAACTTAAAATTTGTTTATTCTATTTTAGAATCATAATCTTGTTTATAAGCACCCAAATGCGGGCATAAATTGGCCTTTATGGCATAAATCAGTCAGAAATTGCTAAGCAACGATTGATTATTCATTTACATTAATTAATTATTCAAACAAGCTTCGATATTCAACATTTTATTAAAGTTGGGAAAATAATATTTCATCAAATCATTCCCTGGCCGACTTCAAATTCTTCTAAAATTTCTTTTGAATAAACGTTTTCCGCTTCCGTTAAAAATATTTTAGAAACTAAAATATGTACTTAGAATAAAACGTATGTACCACGGGCATAATTGCCCTTTGTCGGGCTTTAAACATTCCCTCGTGCCATAATCTCCCAATTATGCCCTTAATATATAAATAACTATTATGATAAATTTGGCGGCGGTGGCTAAATTTTCATATTTTTTGATCTATCTTTCTAAAGTTGTTGTAAAGAGTTTTTTAATGATTTTTCCCGAACTTAGACTTGTGAATTTATTCATGTATCGTTGAGTGGGTGCGTCATTTTTTCAACACCAGTGGGTGGTCCATAAAATTAATGTATGTTGCATAACAAAATTTTCAAGCAAATTTGTACCGTAATAAATTTTTTATTAAGTACTTACTACTTAGCGAATTAACATTTGGTCATCTAAAAGAAAATTTAAACTTTGAAGCCTATGACTTCTACATTTAAGCCGCTATTTTTTAATCATTCCTTATTTTTTTTAGTATTTTATTTATTTATTTATTATACAGTGCATAACGTTTTTGCAAAAATTTGGACCGTTAAGGGAAAATTCAAAGTGGATTCGTACACCACTAGAAGACTATATTGTTGCATAACAGTTAAATCAAATAAACATAGAATTATTTGAAATGACGTCATCAAATTGTTGGTGGGGATGATTAGCAAAATTTTAGTTAGCATGTAACCATCTATACATGATCTTTTTAAAAAAGTACAAAATTTGACAACAATTGGTCCAGCAGTTTCGGAGATTACGTGTCTAATAAAAATGAATAGGTACAGACACCAGATAGACAGACAGACAGACGGAAACGGGAGACTACTTTTTCCGAAACATACCAGATGTCGCAAATGGTATAGTTTTACATCTTGCCTAAAAAGAATTCGTGTTAAAAATTTTTTTGGCAAATGTTATAGTGTCTAAGAAATTAGAGGGCGGGTGGGCGGGGCTAGTACAGGCTAAGATTAAACTAATTGAAAAAATGACATACTTTCTAAGAACATAGAGGGCGGATGGGCGGGGATAATACTTGCTAAAATAAGACTGATTTTGGCAATTAATATACCCTCTAAAGAAATAGAGGGTGGGTGGGCGTTGTTGGGACATGCTAATTGCGCACAAGTCTAAATGAGTTTCAAAAATTAAAACCTATCGGAAAAAATAATAACAAGCATCAATTTGTTGCAATAACTGAAATGATTACGGTCAACGAACTGAATTAAATAGCTTTCTGCACAATTTTATAAGCAACCAGTATCAAATGATTCATCCACCCTCTCTTCATTCTGGTTACTACTACTACTTAATGTTGTTCGGTCTTGTGTAGCAAGTATTAACCCCGCCCACCCGCCCTCTATTTTTTTAGAGGGTATGTTATTTTCCAAAATCAGTCATATCTTAGGAATTTTTAAATTGAATTTACACAAAATATTTGCTATGTAATCTATATTTTAAATTTTGTCTTATTATATTTTATTTACAAAAAAATCGGTTTGATAAAAAACTGAAGTTGTCTTCGTAGGCGTATTGCAATTGCGCAGATGAAAGTTTTTACATATGTTAAACTGTGCCATAATTTATTTAGCATTTTATAATCTTGAGACCTAATTACATTGCTCCATAATTATTATATCTATTAATTTTCAGAAAAAGATGTACAGTGTCTTATAAACGGGGTGTTCCGGTTTACCTATTTCTTTAATACATATCTCAATTATTTGAAAACACAAATGTATAAAATTTAAACAGGCTAATTAATACGAAGGCATCTGGAAAATGAATATATCTACCATTAATCCTATCCATATCACCGTTGTTTTTTACAGAAACATGCAATACGAATCTAGATGCTTCAATATCTAAATGATATTGTTGTGCTTGCGTTTTTAGTTAGAATCGAATTTTTTCGGACAAAATTAAATTTTATAAACATTAAGCACATCAAAAATGTGTAATTTTTCTAGGCCAAAAAATATATCAAGTTTTTGTCAGATTTCCAAAATTTTTCAAATCCTTAGAAATCGATTTAGATCATTTAGATTTTTCCATTTAGATCCTTTCAGATCCCTGCAGACTGTTCTAGATTTTTCCAGTTTTTTTAGGTGCTTCTGGATTCTCACAAGTTCCCTCAGATTCCTTTCATTTCTTTCCGAATCTCCCAATTTCTCTCAGATTCTTTCAGATTCTCTCAAATTCCTTTAAATTCTTTCTCAATCTCCCAATTTCTCTCAAATTCTCTCAGATTCCCTCAATTTCCTCCACATTCTTTTAGATGTTTTCACACTTTTTCATTTTCTTTCTGGTTCTCTCTTTCAGATTCTTTAGATTGTTTTTTTATTCTTTCGGATTATTCCGGATGCTTTTCGATCCTCCCGGATTGTTCGAATTTTTTCAGATGCTTTCAAAGACATCAACATTCTTCCAAATTCTTCTTTAGATTCTCTTTAATTTTCCTAAATTCTTGGAAATTCCTCAAAATTTGCTCGGATTCTCACAAGTTCATTCAGATCGTTTTAGATTCCTTCAGATCCTTCTCGAATCTTCCAATTTCTTTTAGATTCTCGCAGATTCACCCAGATTCCTTCAGATCCTCCTAGATTCTGTCGATTTTCTCACATTCTGTTATATTTTCCCAGAGTCTTTCAGATTCCGTTAGATTTTTTCAGATCCTCTCAAATTCTCAAGAATTTTTCACCTTTCAAATCGTTTCAGACCCTTCCAGATCCTTTCAAATTGTACCACATCGCTTTAGATTCCTGCAAAATGGTTCAAATTCCTCCAGATTTTTTCAAATTCTTTCAAGTTCTTTACGACTCTTCCTTTTGGATGGAAATCCTCAAGATTCTTTAAAATTTTTCAGTTCTGTTCAGATTGTTTGAGATCCTTACAAAACCTTTCAGATCCCTGCAGACTTTTCCAAATTCTTCCAAATTTTTCTAGATTCTCTCAGATTCTTACAAACTCCTTTAAATTCTGTTAGATTTATTCAGATTCTTTCGGAATCTCTCAGATTCTCTCCGATTCTTTCACATTCCCTTAAATTCTCTCAGATTCATTCAAATTTTTCCAGATCATTCAGATCCCTACAGACTCTTCTTCTATTTTTTCTCGAAATTAGACTTGCGTACTTAATAATAAGTAGGTATAAGGTTCAGTTGGTGCACTATTTATTGAACATCCTGTATATAACATAATTTTTTGTTTTTTAAATGCGTCGAACAGA